ATGGAACCCTCAAAGCTAAAGGAAGAGAGGAAGGCCAAAGAATACATTACGCCGACAAATAGAGAAAGATATGACAGGAATAAACAAACATTGGACAGAACTGGAGAAGGAAGCCCAGGATAGAGTTGGTTGGAGAAAACTGATGGGCGGCCTAGGCTCCATTAGGGATAACAGACGTAAGTAAGTAAGTAAGAAAAAATATGATAGGAGAGATCACTATTGGAAATAGGTAAATTACTTTTTTTCAAACAAAATATTTTCCGCTTCTAGTCAATCAAAATATTGTGTTAAAGCAAATAAAACACATATCAAATAATTTTTTTTGCAATGAATGACAAATTTCTCTCGTAATTAATAAAGTACAATAATATTAATAATTATAGTAATAATAACAAAAAAATGCGTATTTCACTTGAATAAACTTGATTTTTATTATTATTATTATTACTGTTGTCTATGGGTGTATAGAACAAAAAAAACAATTTCGGTGTACATGACGATAAAGTTGATTTATTGATATTTGTCCGGTTTGTTATTTGAAAATAAAATTCCTAAATAATAAAATAGACAAATCATGAAAAGTGTTGTTGGCGTTTAGAAAGAAAGAAAGTTAGTAATCATCCATCCATTCATCCGTCCCCGTCCACATATGCTCAAACTACTATCATCACTTCAAAAACTAACTAACTCATTGACTAAATTGATTTGAACCAGTCCAACATACGTTTTCATGATTCGATTAAAAGAAAAAACAAGGAGAATTACAGCGAAAACTGACAAATAAACAATAAAAAAACAAGACAAAATCAAATTATTCATGGGATTGTTGAAATGATATTTTTTTGACGTCCAAATGGTGCTGCGAATAAGGCAAGTTTTGTTAATGGTATACCAGCGTTAAATAATTCCGGTATATGTACTTGATTTCGATTGTAATCAATTTTATTCTCAAATACCTAAAGAGAGAGAAAGAGGGAGAGAGAGATAAAAGTGTACAAATTAATTGATTGGAATCAGTGTTACATTGTGTGCACAACAACACTGTACATTAATTTCAACTATATTGTCACTCTGATTAGCAAAGCTCTTTACAGTTTGATTGTATATTGTCATGACAGAGTTGTGCAAAATGTTGAGTTGATTCAAAAACTGGAAACGCTGAACAGCCGTCTCGTCCTAGTATGAAACAGTGAACATCGTCGATCTCTGTACGCAGGAATCGAACCCAAGATTCTCGACCTTCTGCGCGGCGACATCCAACGCTGTTGATGTATAACTTCAATCAATCCACGATATTGTGCAATGTCATACATTGTCTTTAGTGGGTAACTGCCTCACATTAGACAAAGGTGAACTCCACTGGCCACAGCTTCGCACTAAAACTGAGAGAATTTCCGGCCACGAAGATAATCATTATTGTGTATGATAGATGGATGTCGGCTCAACGGCCTAAAGGTTAGGCGTTCTCGAGTGAGACCGAATGTCCTAGGTACGACTCCAGCATGTTGGGGTCGTGGATGAGCACAGCAGACTTAGTGTATATTGTCTTAACTAGATTTAGAATTGATTTGTTGTGATACAACGATATCTACCAAGCTGCATTTGCAAACAAGCGTATAAGCAGTGCTGTCGTTAGGAAACGAGCTCTAGTTAGGGATGGCTAATCAATAGATGAAGTAGTGAAACTTCATCAGTTGAGGTGGTTGGGACATGTGTTACGTATGGCTAACCACCGACTGCCACGACGAGCTATGTTTTGCAGCGTAGGAGTATGTTGGAACAAATCTGGAGGCGGCCAAACCAAAACATGGCAGAAATCCATGAAGTCACTGACAAGTGGACTGAGTCATGATGGTAGATGTAGGCTTCCTGGTTAGGGTCCGCGAGACGATAGTCACCGATGGTTAGAGATCTTGAACGACATGGCTGAGAATCATTTGCGATGGCGCAGGTGCATCCACTCTTTGTGTTATCTCAAATCCTAATCTTCTGGATTCGTCATAATCTCTACCTTACTCCTTCTAAATTTATCTCACTGAAACATATCTTCGCTCTCGAATCTTCTCCATTACTGCTAATACTTCTATTATCACTATCATTCCTGGATTTGAAGTGACAGTTGCATCTCTTTGCTGATATGGTATGGCAACCTGAACTGATGTATGAAGTTCTACGTTGCATCTGACTGACTGAATGACATAAAAACGCGCGGATGAAAGCCGAGTTCATTAACCATTCGTTTATTAAACAAAACACATTAACAATTATAATTAATAGTCTCCTTTGTTGATGATCAGTTAATCAGGCATACCAAAGACGAACAAATACAACATTACAAAACTTTGAACGGATGAATGAATCAATGAATATGAATGAACCTTGATATCAAACGAAAATTGCACACAAAAACCAAATAACCACCAAATAAACTACTTTCAATGAAATTGTTATTATAAAACCTGTTTACGCTACTCACAAGATTATAAGTAGTATGCAGTGGAACGTCACCTAGACATTGTGTTACTAGCGAGAGAACCGTCCGGGGATAAAAATGCATAACATGATCAGAGTATTTTGAAAATCAAAAGAGATGTGCAAGAAGACAGTTAACAACCTGCTTGGACTGGAAATAGATTATTGAAGAATACCTGTTGATAGGACATACATACATTGAGCAAAGCAATCAACTGCGCACAAAACAAGCTTTCACTTGGAATCCTCAAGGCCGAGGAACACATTACGCCGAGAAATGAAGACAGGCATGAGAAGGATGAACAATAATTGGGCAGAATCAGAAAGGAAGATCGAGGACAGAATAGGTTGGAGAAGAATACTGGTCGGTGGCCTATGCTCCGATTGAGGGTAATATATATAGGAAGTAAATAAAATCTCAGCACGAATACAGAAGGCTCAATTGGCTTTTGCCAACCTGCATCACCTATGGCGCAGGCGAGATGTCCGATTGCTAACCGAAAGACGAGTGTAGTGCGCAGCAGTTCGCTCCGTCCTACTGTATGGATGTGAAACATGGCTGTTAAGAGTATAGGACTTCCGTAGGTTACTAGTCTTCGATCATCGGTGTCTCCAAAGCATTGCTCGTGAATCATGAGACAACCGTATAAGCAATGCTGTCGTTACGAAACGAGTTCTATGTAGGGATGGCAAATCAATAGATGAAGTAGTGAAACTTCATCAGTTGAGGTGGTCGGGCATGTCTGACATATGCCTAACCACCGGTTACGGACAGCCACACCAAAAAATGGCAGAAATCCATGAAGTCATTGACAAGTGGACTGAGTCATGTTGGTAGATGTAGACTACCTGGTTGGGGTCTGCGAGACGAAAGTCACCAATGGTTAGAGACCTTGAAAAAATGGCTCAGAATCGTTTGCAATGGCGCAGGCGTATCCACTCTTTGTGTTCTCTCTAACTCTAACCATATGAATTCCTCATCATCTCTACCTTTCGCTTTATAAATTTATCTTACTGAATTATACTTCTCGAATCATATCTTCACTCCTTACTGCTAATACTTCCGACTATAACTATCACTCTTGAATTTGAATTGACAGTTGCATCTCTGTTCTGATATGGTATGGCAACCTGGACTGATGTGCGTTGTATCTGTCTGACTACATAAAGTACATATAGTTCGTAGAACAACGTTGTCTTCTATATATATATATATATATATATATATATATATATCACCATCTGTTCATGACTTCTACTACATTCGTAGCAGTATAATTAAAATTTCAGTTTAACAATCCATAAGCGAGAATTGATTTTTTTTCTCTTTCTTTCTAATTTTAAATTCTAATTATGAACAACAACGTACACGTTCGATTGAATCTTCTATTTTTAAACGCATCATTTATTTATGCGATCGAAAATTTTCCTCTATGTTCAATCGATATTAATGTGCTCTATATCTATAAGCCTTACAACAGGTTCACCTCCATTCGTTTTTTGAGTTTACTATCCCGACGATGTACATTTATCCGAGTCAGTCAGTCAGCCTACAAGGTTGTCATACCACATTAGTACACTGAGACACACTTATCAGTGACTTCATGGATTTGTGCCGTGTTTCGGTCTGGTCGCCCTTAACTTTCTTCCAACCTATTCCTACACCACAAAACATAGCTTGTCGAGGCAGTCGGTGGTTAGGCATTCGCAACATATGTCCCAACCACCTCAACTGATGAAGTTTCACTACTTCATCTATTGATTTGCCATCCTTACCTAAAACTCGTTTCCTAACGACAGCATTGTTTATACGGTTGTTCCAGGATACACGAATAATGCTTCGGAGACACCGATGATCGCAAGAAGTAGAATCTCGTAAAATAAACTTCAAAAAATGGAAAGATAAAGGTGATGAAGAATTCAGAAGGTTAAGACTTGGAAGAATACAAGGAATGAATGCACCTGCGCCATTGCAAACGTTTTTGAGCCATCTCATTCAGGGTCTCTAACCATTCGATTATTATCATCTCGCGGGTCCCCAAGCAGGTCAACCTTAGCTTTCTTCCAATTCACCTCTAAACTACCAAACATAACTCATCGATGCAGGCTTTAAATTCTAACAATTTTTTTCTTATACACTGTATTTTTCACCATCATGTTTCAAATTTTCCTCTGTGTACAGCTGATATTAATGTGCTCACAATGAGTTAACCTCCTTCCCTTTTATGCTTACTATCCCAAGGATGTACATTCGTCTAAAGTTTTGTTCTCTGAACTATTCCAATACTTCACTTCTTCTTCTTCTACACTTGAAATTTGTGCTGCTGATGATGATGTTGTAGTTCAGAAGAAGACCAGTGAAAGCCAAAACATCCAGCTCATAGGGACAACAACACTTCACCACAATCGATCAAACACAACACAACATATAGATTGTTTTCATGTCAAACACAACACATTTTTTTAATGTGTTCATCATTACTACTTACCCCGGTACTTTTTGGTATCATATGTGATGAGAAATGCAACAGTTGACGATTAACATACAAAACATTAGCAGCATGATCTTCTGGTAATGTGATCACTTTATAAGTATGTGAAGCAACACGACCAATTTCCTAGAACAAAAAAAAATGTATATCCATCCATAAACAAGGAGAAAAGAATCGTTTACAAGTTAATTACTAAAGAATGAGAAAGTAGAATCAAAGTGCACGAATTCGTGAAATTTACAAAAAAAAATGTACAAAGAAGCCAAATTTCTTATTACTGCAACTCAGTCAGTCAGTCAGATGCAACGTAGAACTTCGTACGTACGTATGTACATCAGTTCATGTTGCCATACCACATCAGCACAGAGATATAATTGTCAATTCAAATCCAATAGTAGAAGAGGTAGTAAAGGTATTAGAAGTAATCCGAGAGGTTAGAATTAGAAGATATTATATTCAAGAAGTATGATTCAGTGAGAAAAGTTTAGAAAGTCAAAACTAGAGGTGTTGAAGAATCCAAAAGATTAGGATTTGGGAGAATACAAAGAAAAATGCACCGGCGCCATTGCAAACGATTTTGAGCCATGTTATTCAAGGTATCTAACCATCGATTATTATCATCTGACTGGTCTGTTACTGAACTCATGAATCAATCATTGTGTTAGATCACTATTAGAAACCTGGAAGCATTGAAATACAGTTTGTTTTGCCTCGATATGTGACTCATCACATTGTATAATCTGTTCAGTAGCGACTAGTTCTAATGAGAAGACGTGACCAGTAGGAGTTCAACACTGTCAGATTCGTCAACACCACCTACCTACCTCTAACATTTGTCTTTCTAAACTTATCTCACTGAATTAAAACCTCTTGAATAATATCTTCAAAACTTAATCTTCTCTATGAGCAGTAACTCTTCTACAATTTCTACCATTATGGGATTTGAATTAACAATAGCGTCTCTGTGCTAATGTGGTATGGTAACCTGAACTGATGTACTTATGTACGAAGTTCTACGTTGTAATTGACTGACTGAATGACTGAGAAGAAAATATATTTTTTTAGAATTTCATATATTGATTGTATCAAACTGAGAATACTTAAATGAAGCCAACAGTGTTATTCATAGAAAATTATCAACACATTACGATAATGCTAGTTCGAGGAAAAAGTGTAATTTCAACTAGTGACCCGCTCCGTGAGGAAGTTTCTCCGACTTCTAGTGAGATGTTATGACCAGTGGAGGTCAAGTATGTTCGGGTGTGAAGCAATGCTTGCGGAAGACAGTGGATGGGGATTGCGTCAGGTCGTGGACTGATCGATGTTAGATGCCGACTCAGTGGTTAAGCATTCGCGCGCAAGACCAAAAATGCCGGGTTCGAATCCTGCGAGGAGCAGAAGTCACGGATGTGCACTGCTGACGAGTCCCAGTCCCATATTAGGAAGAAATGGGTAATCAATGCTTCGAGGTTTCTATTAATGGTCTATAGAGGGCTTTCTAAACTCAGGAAATTTTAATTCAAAAGCTTCAACTTCCTGCTACTAAAAATTATTCCGATTATAAATTATCTGTTGAATACAGATTTATACAATACTAATTTATGTGAAAACTATTTATACAAATTAGAAATATTAGGCAGTTATGTATTTATCTGCCATCCTTAACTACGACTCGTATTCGAACGACAATATTGCTTACTCGGTTGTACCAGGATACACGAGCAATGCTTCGAAGACCACCTATGATTGAATACTAATAATGTAGGCATGTTTCACGTCCATAAAGTGTGACGGATAGAACTGCTGCGCAGTATACTAGTCCTTTAGTTAGCAGACGGATATCTCGACTACGCTATAAATGATACAAGTTGACAGAAGCTAATCGAGCCTTTTGTATCCGTGCTGAGATTTCATCTTCCCCATAACAGTTAATACTTCTACTACATCTACTACTATGGAATTTGAATTGACAATTGCATCTTTAGGCTAATGTATGGTATGGCACAACTTGAACTAATGTACATACGTACCAAGTTCTATGTACGTGTAGCTGACAGACTGAAGTTTCCGAATTCTTCAGAAGCCTTTTTTTCTATTTTTCAATGATCGTCGATTTTGATCCCAATCGTTTCCATGACTACCAATACTGTCATTAATTTCACTACTCTGGTCTAACAATTTCCTCTCTCTCTCTCTCTACGCTAATTGGAGGAGCATGCCAATATAAACTGATGTGTATACGTAACAAGTTCTGTAATTTAACTGACTGACTGACTGACTAACGGACCCAACTTGACAGCAATAAAACAGATTGTTTCTATTGAATTGTTATGTCAGATTACTATTGAAATTGATGGCCAAAAACATCCAACTTGATTGTCAATAATAGAATGGCAATAAGATTATTCAGTTCAGACAATAAACTTAACCAATCGACAAAAACTAATCACCCTGAATTAATTTTATTTTGTGTGTTTTTTTAAGCAGAATATTCTTCTTGATTTTTTTCTCTATAGATTTGCATTACGGGGTTGTGAAGATTGTTAAGTTACACATTTTTGAAACCATGAATCGATCAATGTTGGACCATCATTAGAAACCTGGAAGCACTGGACGGCTGTTTCGTTCTGGTATGGAACTCCTCTACAGTGCGCATTCACGATTCCTGCACCCCGCAGGGATCGAGCCCAGGACCTTTGATATTGTGCGCGAACGCCCTAACCGTTAGACCACTGAGCCGGTATCTAACGGTGTTAATGTCTAATTTGATCAAATTCACGGAGTTGTGCAACCTCATACACAGTCTTCGGTAGTTACTTTCTACACCCGAACAGGTTGTGAACTTCACTGGTCACGTCTTCCCACTAGAACTCGGAGAAGATTACTCACGAAGCTAGTCACTAGTCACTATAGATTTGTTTAAATTCACCCCGAAAATTTTGAAAGAACTCATCAGTTGACAAACAAACTTTACCATATGATATAAACTCTTTGTTTCTTTTAAATTTTTTGACGAAGAAAAAATAATTAACCTTGAATTAGTTAGTACACAACAACACTTTTAATAGCATTGATGAATCACATGTGTTGCGAAGCTTTTGCAATATATGCATATATGTGTATTACAAAATCATGTGATTTTAGAAACAACAACAACAACAACATAATATAATCAAAATTAGAACGTATCCTATTCGATTTAGTTTACATTCGATATATCGATAGTGTTCAAAATGTAAAGTTTAGAAAGTGTTTTTTTTTGGTGAAAAATGTTTTATCATAATTTAAAAAGTTTAAATCAGAAATTAGACTCAGTCAGTCAGTCAGCAACTATTGTAGAACTTGGTACACGCGTAGGTACGTACGTGCGTACATCAGTTCAGGTTGACATACCCCATATTAGCACATAGAGATTGAATGGTCAATTCAAATCCCATAATAGTAGAGATAGATAGATAGAAGTATTAGCGCCGTAATCGAAAAGATTAAGGTTTCGAAGATTTGATTGAAGAAGTTGTGTTCGATGAAATTCTAAGCTTCTGCATTCCTCATAATCTCTACCTTTCTCCTTCTAAATTTATCTTACTGAATTATACTTCTCGAATCAAATCTTCGCTCCCTAATCTTCTCCATTACTGCTAATACTTCTATTATTGTTATCACTGTTGGATTTGAACTGACAGTTGCGTCTCTGTGTTGATGGGGCATGGCAACCTGAACTGATGTACTTCTGTACGAAGTTCTATGTTGTATCTGTCTATGATTGAAGAAGTATACCACGGTGAAATAAATTTAAAGAGATAAGGAAAGTCATGAGTTTCGAAGATTAGAATTTGAGCGATCACAACGAATCGCTGCACCTCTGCCATTGCAAAAGATATTGAGCCATGTCATTCAAAGTCTTTAACCATCGGTTACTAATGTCTCGTGGACGCCAACCAAATGGTCTACAGACGATAAGATTACTTATTTCCTTAATTACGCCTGTCACTTGCAATGGAGCATAGGCCACAGACAAGTTTTCTCAAATCTACTCTGTTCGAAGTTTTCGTCTCTCATTCTGTCCAATTTTTGTTCATTCTTCTCATGTCTGTTGACATTTGTCGGTGCACTGCGTTCTTTTGTCTTCCTCTTTGCCTTTGACATTGAGGATTCCAAGTGACGGTTTGTCTTGTGACGCAGTTAGGTGCTATCTGCAGTGTGTGTCCTATCAACTTCCACCGCTTCTTTATGATTTCCTCCTCCGTTGGAATGTGGTTTTTTCTCTCCCGCAATAGGTTGTTGCTGATGGCGTCTGGCCGATGGATCCGAATTATTTTACCTAGATAACTGTTAATCTCACACATTAACATGGCTCGGTACAACTGTCAGTGACTTCGTGGATTTGCGCCATATATTGGTTTGTTCGCCATTAGTCTCCTTCCAGCCTACCTCTACACTACAAAACATCTCTCGTCAGGGTAGTCCATCGTTGGGCATACATAACACATGTCCCAACCACCTCAACTGATGAAGTTTCACCACTTCATCTATTGATCTGCCATTCTTACCTAGCACTCGCTTCCTAATAACAGCGTTGCTCACTCGGGTGTTCAAGGATATACGAGCAATGCTTCGAAAACACCGGTGATCGAATACTAGTAACTTACGAATATCCTCTACTCTTACTGGCCATGTTTCACACCCATAGAGTAGGACAGAGTGATTTTAAGTAATAATTTATAAAACATAACATACATAGAATCAAATATCAAGATTGGATTCTATTATCCTCAAACAAATTGAACATTTCATGACTTCACATCGACTGTGTGATATGTGCTCTACATTAGGAAAATCATGTTACGTGACATAAGAACAATTAAGCGACATAGAAAAATGCTTCTTAAAAATCCTTACAGAACTGAAAAATTTACCAATGCTATTTTTAGTCAACATCAAATCGATATTAAAAAATATCAAAATAATCCAGAAAGATTTTTGACAACTAAAACACAAAAAGAGACGAGTAGCCGAAGTATTTCATTGAATGATAAATCTCTCTGCCCACATTCACAACCTGGAATGTTGATCCACATAACTACATTTGACTGAATTGATCACCTACACATTTCTACGCACACACACACACACATAATTTGAATTACTTCAAGTCAAAAATTACATATTTTTCCTACCAAGCGTCATACACACAAATGTACATGTCGAAGTCTGTCACAAGAGGCCGAACCAGAACATGGCACAAATCCATGAAGTTACTGACAGGTGGAATGAACCGTGTTGGTAAGTGTAGACTACTTCCTTGAAATCTGCAAGACGATACTCACCGATGATTGGAGACCTTGAGTGATATGGTTCAAATTCGTAGAGTAGAAGACATCCCTAGGTTACTAGTAATCGACCATAGATGTTTAAGAAGCATTGCTCGCATATCGTGGGACAACCGAGTAAGCAATCCTGTCGTTAGGAAACGGGTGCTAGGTAGGGATGGGAAATCAGTCGATGAAGTGGTGAAACTTAATCAGTTGAGGTGGTTGGGACATGTGTTACGTATGGCTAACCACCGACTGCCTCGACGAGCTATGTTTTGCGGTATAGGAGTAGGTTGGAAGAAAGTTAGGGACGGCCAAACCAAAACATGGCAGAAATCCATGAAGTCACTGACAAGTGGACTGAGTCATGTTGTTAAATGTAGGCTACCTGGTTGGGGTCCGGGAGACGAAAGTCACCAATGGTTAGAGACCTTGAACGATATGGCAATGGCGCAGGTGCATCCACTCTTTGTGTTCTCTCAAATCCTAATCTTCTGGATTCGTCATCACCTCTACCTTTGTCTTTCTAACCTTATCTGACTGAATGATACTTTTTGAATAATATCTTCAAACCCTAGTCTTCTTCATTACCATTAATACCTCTACTATCTTTATCACTATGGGATTCGATTTGACATATGCGTCTCTGTGCTAATAATGTGGTATGGCAATCTGAACTTATGTGCATACGTACGAAGTTCTACGTTGCAACTGACTGACTAGAATCGCTCAAGGCGAAGTTAGTATGAACTGTAAAAAATCTTTTATTTGTCGCGTTTAAGACTTTGAGATTTCACATGATCTCAACAAACATATATATATATATATATATATATATATATATATATATATGTAATTTAAATAATCTAGCAACCTGATTCAAACTTTTTCAGCGGAAATATATTCAACATCGACATGATTGAGAAATTTAGTTTACACAACAATACAATAAAATCACACTTAAAGTTTTGATCAGTCATGTTTATATTTTGTCTGTAGTATAAAGTTAAGAAATTGAGTGTACTTCAATAAAGATTTGAGGCTTATTTAAGTAAGACAATTAGAGCTGATGTATAAATGAGTAAAGTAGGAAAAAGTATTCTATTTGATTGTGACTACCAATTTGGTCTTGTGTACTGTTACGGGTACCAGTGCGGTTGTCACTTCCGGGCTGTCCACACTGTGGAAGGGTGTTTCTTGAGTAACCTCGGAAGGAAGTTGGATTTGTGTATCGATCTTAAAGACCAGGACCCGGTCCCGGATCCCTAGTCCGGGATCCTGATTCTCTTCTGGACTCGGACTTGCTGGACGCTTGTAGAATACACGTTCTAATTCATATCAAGTCTTGTCTTCTTTTACTGAATATGGGGGTTGGGATAATCGTATTTGAGTAGCATGTTGTGTCACCGGATCCTCTATTCTCACTCTCGTTTCCCGACTAGGTAAACTCCTAATAGTTCAAGTATATCAAGTTGACGTGTTTACGCGCAGGTGTAACACTAATGGTGGTCTAACAATAAATCATTGCATCCATGATTTCAAGGTAAAATACAAGCTTAAATACGATCGAACATTTGATCACTACTACTATTTGTATTAAAAACATCATCATTCATCATTAAAAAATAAACATTCATGCTTTGTAAACAAAAACAGAAACACATAAATATAAATATGTAGGGTCGACATTGTTTTGGCATTGTTTATAAAATGGATGGGGTATTATTTAGTATTCAATGACCATTGAACTACTACCCAATGATGAACCATCTTTAAAAACAAAACAACTTTTGGACAAAATGAATATTATCAACAATATTGTGGAAACATAAGGAAACTATGGTGTTCACATTGATCTGTATATATGTTACGCCTACAATTAAACACGTCAACTTGATATACTTGAACTATTACGAGTTTACCTAGTCGGAAACGCGAGAGCGAGGATCGAGGATCCGGTGATAAGACGTGCTACTCAAATCCGATTATCCCAACTCCCATATTGAGTACAAGAAGACAAGACTTGATATGAAGTAGAACCTGTATTCTACATGCATCCAGAAAGTACGAGGTCCGAATCCAGAAGAGAATCAGGATCCCGGACTAGGGATCCGGGACCAGGTCCTGGTACTCGTCATAAAATGTTACAGATAATGCGTATTTATACATTTTGGTCGAATAGGAAACAGCATCGAAGTCTGTGACATTGACAGTTAAGACGACCAATAGGAAGCAACATTTGAAGTGACATTGATAGTCAGGACAACCAATAATAAACAACATTGGAGCACGTGACATTGATATCTAGGACAACCATAAAATTGACCAGTAGGAATGAACCAATAGGAATATACCAATAATTCTGTTAGGATATTGGATGAATATCCTAACAATATATTTTTACGCATGGAAATCATGAATGAATCAAGCATTGTTAGAGACCACCATTAAAAACCTGGAAACAGTGAAAGACGACTGTTTCATCCTGCTATGCGACTCATGATTGACAGTGCGCATTCACGATTCCTGCTTCTCACAGGATCTGAATCCAGGACTTTTGGTCTTGTGTGTGAACAACTAACCTCTAAATCACTAGGCTGGTATTCGACGGTGTTAATGTCTAACTCCAAACAATCTAAGGATTTCGCGCGTGGATGCACACTGCTGAAGTGTCTCATATCAGGACGAGACAGCAGTCTGTCAGGGCTTCCAGGTTACTTATGGTGGTCCAAAAGTGGTTGAATCATAATTTTAATGTGTAAAAACACTGATCTCCATGCCATATGTTCGGTCAGCTATAATGTAGATCTTGGCACATACATCAATTCAAGTTGACATACCACATCAGCACACAAAGATCGGATTGTCGATTCAAATCCCAGAAGAGTAGAAGTAGTAGAGAGTTTAGCGGTAATCAAAAGCATTAGTTATGGAAGATACCATTCAAAAAGTTAAGTCTAGTGGAGAGAAAATCGGTCATGGGGAATTCAGAAGATTAGAATTTCAAAGAACACAAAGAGTGGATGTATCTGCACAATTGCAAATCATTTGGAGTAATGTCATTCAAAGTCTGTAACCATTGATTACTAACATCTCACGGACCCCACAACCAGGTGGTAGTCGTCAGTCAGTCTACACCTACCAACATGGCTCAGTCCAATAGCTGTCAGTGACTTCATAGATTTATACCAGGTATTAATCTGGCCTACCTACATAAACTGTGTTTTATAAGAAAATATATTGTTAATTATTATTTGTGAAAAAAATTTTTGATTTTGACCAATTTGGTCTCGTGTGCTGTTACGGGTATGAGGGCGGTTGTCACTTCCCGGCTGCCCACACCGTGGAAGGTTGTTTCTTGAGGAACCTGAAAAGGAAGATAGATTAGTGTTGGTCTTAGAGACCTGGGAGCGTGACCGCAGAGTCCAACGGACAACTGCTTAAGGCCGTTCACGCACGGCCATCAGTGGGCATGCTTACCGACGGAGACGAAAATCCGTGAGGTAGGGTGAGGTGTGACACTTTTAGGGTCGACCTTTTCTAATCCTTCCTTCTTTGTGAGGAGGCAGCATCGCTGCAGATGCTGGTTGTCCGAAGGAAACACCTTACTGCTGTCACACCCCTCCATCACAGTCGGCAGTACGACTTCGCCCTCAGACCTTGAGTAGCTGCTTTTAGTCTCATCGTTCTCCAATCGACCTGCCTGGCATGATAGAACCTTCAGGAACATAAGTTCCAGCCAGTATAGCTCGGTTGAGTCACGACGATAGTCAAGCCCGACCACCACGTGTCAAGGTAGCAGCTTCGGTCGGGAGAAAAAAATATATCACAACAACCCACTGAATGGCTTGTTTGTGTGTGTATTATAGCAGAAAACCACATACATACCTTTAATAATTTTTTAGCTGCTTCACTTTCACCAACTGCTAACACATTGATTCCAGCTACACCGACAGCATCTTTCAGTGAACGAAAAGGTTGCGGTAATTTAACAATCGAAGTTGCATATTCTGGAAATGCACGTGCTACAGCATGTGCACCAGCTTCATTTGTATGAGCAGAAATGCCAACAATAATTTCTTGACCTAAAAATAAAATAAAACAAACAGTTCTTGATAGATAACTAAATACAGAAGGTATTTAGAAAAATATATGAGCAAGAAAATCCTTTTACTAAATTGAGAAAATAAACAAATACGTGGTGTAACTAAGTATCAGTTTGAATTATATTTTCTGATTAGCGTTTTTTTTAGAGAGTTAGTTTTCTACAGGATGGGGTCGCCAACCCCATTCCCGACTCTCCTTTATCCGGGCTTGGGACAGGCAGTAGCCCCGAAGGGGCTCCAGGTGAAAAGCACCCAACTGCGTCACAACACATGCCCACACTTGGTGCCTTCAAGGTCAAAGTGAAAGAGGAAGGCCAAGGAACACATTATGCCGAGAAATTAAGACAGACATGAGAAGAATAAACGGCGATTGGATAGAATTGAAAAGGGGGGCCAGAACAGAGTAGGTTAGAGAATTGTTGTGGTGTTTTCTTCTGTGAGCTGGATATTTCCAGTTGTGCAGCTTTCATTGTTCTTTTGAGCAACATTAGCACATACTGGTCGGCGACCTATGCTCCACTGGAAGTAACAGACATAAGTACCAGTTTATTACAATTAGCTAGAAGCTATACATGTGTACAAAAACTAACGTGCTAAGATAAAAAAATATCAAGATTTAAGAACGGCAGGTTCGTAACTGAAGTACATAGACTACTGTACCCAAATCAAGAATAATTTGGAAAGCATAAGTGTGAAGTGCTCTTCATTTTCAGGTTGGGAAACCACTTGAGGATGAAGTTATTTGACCTTAGATACTGGGTACAAGTCTATTTTGATTTGGTAAGACAAGTAGTACTCTGAAAACAATAAAAAATGTAGCTGAAAACTTATCAGTCGATTGCAATGTAAAACTTGATAAGTGTTTACATAAGTTCAAGTTGACATACCACATTAGCTCAGAGAAATATGGAATTTTCAGTCCAAATTCCAGGGTAGTAAAGATAGTAGTAGTGTAGTAGTAGTAGTAGTAGTAATAGTGGTAACGGAAAATATTAAAGATCGAAGATAAAATTGGAGAAAATACAAACTAGTGAAACAAATTACAAAACGAAACGACATTAATACTCTCTATCTAACTACATACATTAGTTGCATAGTGGATTAACAAGATACTAGTAATAGACAGACAGATACAACGCAGAACTTTGTACGTAAGTACATCAGTTCAGGTTGCCATACCACATCGGCACTGAGACGCAAATGTCAGTTCAAATCCAACAGTGATAGCAATAATAGAAGTATTAGCAGTAATGGAGAAGATTAGGGAGCGAAGATATGATTCGAAAAGTATAATTCAGTGAGATAAATTTAGAAAGCGAAAGATAGAGATTATGAGGAATTCAGAAGGTTAGGATTTGAGAGAACACAACGAGTGGATGCACTTGCGCCATTACAGTGATACTTTTAAAAAATTTACGATCAAACTATTATGACTCATGCATGTTCTTTCTTTATTCCAAAAACATGTTTTACAGTTAAGAAATACAGACAGAACCATTGAGGCTTCATACTCATCCTATTATAGTCGAATAGATATTTGAATTGAGAAACACTTGATGCAGGCTGGTGAAAAATTTGTATATGATAAAATCCAGTCAAACACTAATCCACAAATGTTGATAGAGACATAACAGCAGCGCAAATCGTTTATTATAGTTCGAGTATCTACACAATGTAGTTGAGTGAACAACTACAATATACAATCTTCCAAGCATCTTGAATGTTGTGAAAGTATGATGAAATATAGGTACATAGACAGAGACAGACAGACAGATACAACGCAGAACTTCGTATGTAAGTACATCATTCCAGGTTGCCATGCCCCATCAGCAGAGAGACGCAACTGTCAGTTCAAATCTAAGAGTGATAGCGATAGTAGAAGTATTAGCAGTAATGGAGAAGATTAGGGAGCGAACATATGATTCAAAAAGTATAATTCAGTAAGATAAATTTAAAAGGAGAAAGATACAGATTATGAGGAATGCAGAAGCTAAGACTTTCATAGAACACAAAGAGTGGATGCACCTGCGCCATTGCAAACGATTTTCAGCCATATAGTTCAAGGTCTCTAACCATCGGTGACTATCGTCTCGCGGACCACAAACACGTAGCTCACACCTACCAACATGACTTAGTCCACTTGTCAGTGACTTCATGGATTTCTGCCATGTTTTGGTTTGGCCGCCCCTAACTTTCTTCCAACCTACTCCTACACTGCAAAACATAGCTCGTCGCGGCAGTCGGTGGTTAGCCATACGTAACACATGTCCTAACCACCTCAACTGATGAAGTTTCACTACTTCATCTATTGATTTGCCGTCCCTACCTAGAACTCGTTTCCTAACGACAGCATTGCTTATACGGTTGTCCCATGATACACGAGCAATGCTTCGGAGACATCGATGATCGAAGACTATAGGTACATGTGAGAAACCGGTGAAACTATTTAAGTTGCTGCGAAAATAAAAAAAATACAACCTGGCGGTACTTGGAATAAATGAAACACATCAAACGCACCCTAGAACAAAAGGATTAGTTTCGGGGAAGATGTTGTTGTACTCTAGTCATGAAGAAGAAGATGTCTCACACAAACACACACAAGGACACTTCATTAAGATACCGAAAAAGATCTCAGCAAGTGTAAGAAGTACAGACGCATAGCTCTACTATCGATACCGGAGCTGTTCAACAGGGTGTTGTTAAACGGAATGATGAACTCTGTAGACACTCATCTTCAAGATCAACAGGTTGGATTTCGTAAGGACTGATCATGTACCGACCAAATCGAGCGCGACACGACAGACTCTTGTGGAACAATCAATTGCATAGAAATCACCAATATGCATCAACTTCTTTGACTATGAGGAAGCATTCAACAACGTGAACAGGATTACACTCTGGAGGTTTTTTCTACAATACAGCATACCTGAGAGGATAGTCAACATTATACGAATTATGATAGATTAAACTGCAAGATAGTGAGTGCATGGAGGACAGATCAAAGACTCGTCTCAAGTGAAGACCTGTGTTAGGCAAGGTTGCTTACTTTCACCATTTCTCCTGGTGAAGATAAATTGTCAACCATAAGGATATCGCTATGCTAACAGAATCAGAGTAAGGAAAGTTAGGATATCCAGCTGTATTTATTTACATTGGTATACCATACAGTATATTTATTTCATACTCTATATGTATGATTATAGTGCATGTCCTAAGTGATACTTCATGTTGGATCCAAAATAAAGGGTATTTTGCCAGATCTTTAAAACAGCTTACAAAACCAAAAAAAACCTGAAATGTCTAAATTTCCTTCGAACCTGCAACCTATGACACTGTACTTTACCACCTGGTTACAATGGGGTAAAATTACCTGTAAAAAGAACATCACTGCCCTCAACTTGAGCGTTCTCTGTATTTAATTCAACGATTTTAAGTCCTAGTTCTTTCTTGAGAGTATGACGAATTGGGTTCACCTGGGAATATTAGAAACTCAAATAACTGTATCTTACTTCTCCTTGTCTGTGACATCGACATGGATTACACATCAGTGCTGTCCCGTTAATTATGACAGCTGTGTCGTCTACCTTTACACACTCAGGATGACGCTCGTCTGCTTCCATTTCAAGAACATCAACCCCATTTTGTCTTAATGCCTCAACGAATTTCTCTCTTTCATTGCAAGCCTCCTCATAGTTAAATTTTCCACCCTTTTTGACTGTTATATTAGCATCAGGAGACGAAAGAAATTCTTCAAACGACCTGGGTATTTGGCTTACGACAGCATATTCATAGAGGAAGGCCATCACAACGAAGTAACCGAAATACTACAATTGTAGCGCCACGTCCAACATACAATATCCAATAGCCTTGTAAGGAGTTAGAATTATTCACTTGATTTCTTCTTGTTCTTTCATTACGGCTCTAACCATTTAGTACTGTTCAATGGATGGCACTCTAGCCGCTCATCTACACTTATTCTGGTCATTTTAATGTTATTCATGAATTTGGATGTCACTTCAAATATCTAATATATTTTTTACGAGCTAGTGTACACCAATTGATTTCTTTGCGCTCAATTCCTGTTCTTTCGGTACGGTTCCAGGTGTTCGGAAATGTCCAACGAATGGGGGTCTAGCCACTCGACTGTCTAATTCTAGTCAGTTGACAGTTGGTTGTGAGTTTGTATGCCCTGGGATTTGAATGAAAACGTTTGTTTCAGGGCAGTAGGGTTTCTGGATGCCAGCATCTATCACATTACCAGACCGGAGGTCAGTTAGTTGCAATGTGGAGAGTAATAAGGGTAATAAGGATAAAATTTTAATGCTAAAATGAATAAAATTTCAGAACTGAGTAATATATAGATGAATTTAGGTTGTAGTGAAACGCTTCTACGAAGAAAATGCGATTTTTGAAGTGTAAACATTATTGTACTCGTTTTGTTTAACTGTACCAAAAACACTTCTACAACTTCTTGCGCGCAACGTTCTCTTCGCGTTGCTGCCATCTTTATCTATTTGCTGCTCCTCATGTAATGCCAACGTTCTCCTTCAATAAACAACTGAACTATGGATTTATTTTGTTTTGCTTTCCGTGACGCGACCGTATGGAACATTTAGTAGTGAGCATAGACAATCAGGTATCCGGATTCGCTCACAACAAGGTCAATTGGTAGTGAAGATTGTGAGAGAGGACCGCAGTGTAAGCAAGGAGAAGGGAACAGAGATGAGAGGCGAGAGAGATTAATTTGGCGATATGAGAAGATGGCAATGATACCGACTAGCAAGTCTTAAGATATGCTTCAGGCACTGCTTTTCCACGAGGGAGATGATAATCCTTATGGGAGTACATGTTTATCAAGTCTCTTCTTAGAGCTGTTCACTGAGAGCTCTGTGGTCACCTCCATTAGAAGGGAATTCCAAAATACATCAACTATTGATGAGAAAATGTGTGCACGAACCTGCCTATACACTATTTACGGTGCAATATTTCGAGGGTTACCTCGAGAGGTCTCGTTTCGCATCGGCAAGATGTTCATGTTGGGATGGTTTGGTGTACATAATATATTGCACGCCATTATCAGACCACCTCTGAATCTCCTGTAACTCAAGGAGAATAATTCTAGTTGCTGCTGTCTATCTTCGCAAGTTTTACTTTTCAACACTATCGCCCATTTTGCTGTTCGCCTCTGCACTCAATCCAGGAGATTGATGTCTCTTTTAACAAGAGTAGCTGCAGCGACATTGTAAACCTCAAAGTGTGGGCGTGCGTATGTTCTAAACAGTTTTAATAGTAAGCAGGTGGTGACTGAAGGAAGAGTCACGTTGGCCTAGGCTGAGTTCATCACGTAGTTTGAGTTGGGGTTAGGATTTCTGTGGTTATAAAATCGAGATCATACTTTGGGGCCACATTGGAGAGAGTACTTCAAGTGATTGCATCATGGGGAGTAGAATGTTCAAAATGTGACATTTCGACTGGTTAATTTAAACCCGTTTTCTACTGCCCAGTCCTCGAATAATTTAAGGTCCTTTTAAAGCTTACATCAATCCTCTTCGTTTTTTATGCACAAACAGATATTTGCTCCTGCGTAAACTAGTACCAGTGAGCTAACTTTATCTAAGAAGTTATTAATAAATATCAAAAAGGGGAGTGAACGTCAATCTCAAACTCCAAACTCTTCAAATAACTGAATAATAGTTATCTGAGTCTTTTCCCGAAACGGAAGATGAGTCTTGGTTTTGATTCGGTAAAATCTTTAATTTGAATGCCTCAAAGGTCTACAAATAATGTGCTAATAACTAAAGAATCTGTGAGAGGATTTAGAAAACTAAAGTGGTTGTCACGGATCTAACAAAACGTATTGATTCCATCCGATTATTATGAACAACTTTTATACTCACAATTTTGGTTAGGCGGAGAAGCCACTTCGGTCTTTTATCCTAATGGATCAGATCAGAGAACTGTATATTAATCTCAGTACACAATATCAAACTGTGAATATAGTAGTCAAATGCATTGGTTTAGTTCTTTTGGTTAATTTGTGTACGTTCTTGTGGCTAAATCAAATGCTCTCTATATGAATCTTTCTGATACCCCTTAGGTTATTTCCACATAAGCCTATCTTTTTATCTATCTGCTGATCGCGTAGCGGTTAATAATCCTCAAAACAAATAGTTCTTCAAGTCTTAGATATTCAGGCTGGCCTCATCAGTTTTACTGGATACCCCCGTGACAAAAACATCTGATTGCGCATCTGAACCAGATCGCTTCAATATGCTGCGCATCGCATCACAGCAACTCGCTAGTTTAGATCACTTACTCTTGCATAAAAAATCTCTAATATATTGTCCAAGTCCTTCATTTTTGGCTAATCCTTTTACCGGATGCCTCTAAACTTTGCTGAGGATTGATCTCACCGGGGTTACATAGAGAATCCTGCTTTACCAAAGCGATGAAGCCAAGAAACTCTTCACTCTGATGATAACAGTCAGAGAGGAAGCAACAAATGTCGTCGATAAAGCCATTAGCTCAGCTTTTATTCCCAATAAAAAGACTGATATAACGATTATCCAAACACTTATAAAGGAAACAAACCCTGTCCCGACCATTGTAATACGTAATCGCAATAAGTCCTACACTGTCAAGTGAAGACCTGTATCAGGCAGGGTTGCTTACGTTCATCCTTTCTCTTTCTCCCGGCGCTCGAGGAATATGAAGACGTCAACATAAAAGCGTTGAATTCAGTGAACAGCTAGGATGCAGCTGGAAGAACTGAACATAGCCCACACTAAAAAACACATGCAGGAGTAAACCACCATTGAAGCAGCACCCTCTGCACTGTACATAGACAAGAAGAAAAGCAAATACGTCGATTCAACACAAAATACAGCAAACAAATCACTCTTGGAGGAGAACCTTCAGAAGATACGGAGACTTTTTTATACCTGGGCACAGAGGACCTGAGGGAAGATATGAATGCGCGGATCGGCGAAGTAAGGGCACCATTTCTACAACTTAAGAACACCTGGAAATCAAAATAACTAAAAATCAACAACAAGCTCACAGTTTTCAATAAAAATGTTAAGGCGCTTCTACCGTATGGATCGGAAATTTCGAGAACCACAAAAGTTATCATCCACATTATAGAGCTGTTTATTAAAAGTTTTTATACCAAATACTTCAGATCCTTCGACCACGCGCTGCGAATGGCTCTGCCATTCGCAGCTACGGTGCACGAAAGCTAACGACTAACCTGAAGAATCGACGACAATATCTGTGGACGTTCACCCCTACTGATGTTCCCGTAGCCGTAAACAGTATCGATTCACTACAGCTCTATGAATTCCTATTAGATTCACGTAGGCTGCAGTCAGTCGATACTTCGTCGAATATTAAGTCCAAGGGTTTTAACGCACCAACAGGCGTGTACCGCATCACTAATGTATTTTTTGCATAAAAAGAAGTTAGAATTTAAAGCCTGCCTCGACGAGCTGCGTTTTGTGGTGTAGAAGTGGATCGGAAGAAAGCTAAGGGTGGTCAGACCAAAACATAGCACAAATGCATGAAGTCACTGACAACTAGACTGAGTCAGGTAGGTAGTTTTACTTCACTGAATTATACTTCTTGGATAATATCTTCGAACCCTAATTTTCTTCATCACCGTTAATACTTAGACTACCTCTACTACTATGGTGTTTGAACTGACAACTCGATTTTGCTATGCCAATATGGTATAGCAACTTAAATTGATGTACTTGAGCAAGAAGTTCTAGATTGTGACTGACTGACTGAGTGATATTTTTGCCAATGCATTATTACAGCGTTAGAACTCGGCGAATTTCTTCATGAAGTTAGTCACCAATAAGCAGATTGTACAATGGTCAGTCCCATACCAGGACGAAACCGCTGCACTTTCAGTGCATCCAGATTTCTAATGGTGGTCTAACACAATGATTGATTTATAATTTCACGGCAAAATACACATATATGTACACAATAATTAATAGGATTAAAATGATATCTGTGTAATTGCAACGGAATTGTCTTGCTTTACACATACTGTGGTGTACGCTACTTATGTTCACATAAGTAGTATATGGTATCAAACGTCTGACAACAAAAGATCCAGAAGGAAAGAATGAGAACAGAAGGCGATTTGTAGGTGTAACGTAAAGTGAACTGAAGTCTGAACCGTATAAATGAACACTGAACACTGAAATCTGAAACAAATAAGGATTGATTTGCAAATGATGATTTCACAGGAAGGTTTTGTACATTAGCTTAACAACTCTGTAATATTCGCTTAAAAACAGATGTTGGTGTCCTCGCCTGAGTTTTTGTGCACAATAATACTGTTCTCACAGATATCGACTTTGTGTACATGCGTATCTTCTATGCTCGTAGAGACTGGTAGTTAATTAGCGAAAATAACAACATTTTTTTCTCTCAAAATGATAAACAGAAGATATTTTGAGAAATGATGATTATGAATAATGTTGACCTTAAGTATTTTTGTTTCTTTTGTAAGCCGCTCATCAGTCAGTCATTTAACTTACATTTTAGATAACTAGACAATCAGGTGAGTGAATTACAAAAACTAACGGTTTTTTTACTGTGATTATTATATAAAGTACGTGAATCTACATTTACAACACAACTGATACCAGTTATGAGAATTACGAACAAGCATGTTTGATACGTTTCAATTTAACTCAGTAGTATGGTTCGCTATTTTTATGAAATTCGCATGCACAAACTATCCTCTATCAGCCGAGAAAATCGATAATTACACTGATGTGATTTACAAGAATGAAACATTTTCACAAGTAAGAAAGTAGTTTTCTTGATTTTTAATAAAAAAACCATCAATCTAATCTTTTTTTTAAATTAGTCTGATCGTTATTATTACACCGAATACATACGATGGAATCAATTGTCACCAGTGATATTTGATGATATAAAGTTATTGATTATTAAATCTAAACCTTTGGTAAATCAATGTACTTTTTTTCTCAATGAATAATTTTTATTCTTTGTATAAAGTCTCTTACACCTTCAATTCCATTAATGTATTTTGGTGAACATTTCTCATCGTTATCAATATTTCCACAAGGTATGTATTGATCTGTGATTAGAAATAAAATGTTTCGCAAATTTCTATCATGTAACTCATTTGTTTTGGTGATGGAGTTTTGTTATACCTGCTCAAATAATCTCTGAATAATACGCATAATATTATTGTGGAGATTGTTGTTTTACCTTGAAATTATTAATGAATTATTGGTAGACTAGCATTTGAAAGACGTCCGTTTCATCTTGATATGAGACTCGTCAGCAGAGAGCATCTAGGATTCCTCCTACTCGCAGGATGGATCAGTGGTAGACATTAACAAACACTATTGCGTGCCAACTAAGTGGTCCAGAGGTTAAGTGATCGCGCGCAAAGCCAAAGGCCCTGGGCTCGAATCATGCTCACTGTTGATGAGTCGCATACTAGGACGAAACGACCATCTTCAGTGCTGTCAGGTTTATAATGGTGATATGACAATGATTGATTCATGATTTCAGTGTGTAATACTTGATAGTTATTTCATTTACATTACGGGGTTGTGAAGATTGTTAAGTTACACATTTTCGAAACCATGAATCGATCAATATTAGACCACCGTTAGAAACCTGGAAGTACTGAAAGACGGCCGTTTCGCCCTGGTATGGGACTCATCAGCAGTGCTCATCCACGACTCCTGCGCCCCACAGGGTTCGAACCCAGGACCTTCGGTATTGTGCGCGAACGCCTAAACGTCGGACCACTGAGCCGGTATCTAACGGTGTTAATGTCTAACTTGAGGAGTTAGGCGTTCGCGCACAGAATTTAAGGTCCTGGGTTCGAATCCTTCGGGGTGCAGGAGTCGTGGATGCGCACTGATGATGAGTCTCATACCAGGACGGGACGGCCATCCAGTTATTTCATTGTTAGGTCATAATGTACACCAGTACAAAAGCATAATTCATTCTTACATTTACAGAGATAAAGTTAGAATAGATTTCAATTTAAATTCATTTCATTTCATTAAAACTTTCAGTTTAAACACATATTTCATAATTACCTAATTTCCGAAGTCATCTGAATTAAGAAAATCCTAATGTTCACATATACTACTAGATAAACAATCATAAGAGAATCTATTTGAGATATACTCAATTAAAACAAATCGAATAATTACATTCAATGTTGAATGATATCGATTTCAATGATTCAAAGTTGTTTATTTTAAGTGTTGAATAATTTAACTTGTCAATTTCTTTACAAAAAAAGGTGTTGTAAGCATGCAATCTGAAATTGGGAAACCAGATTTAAGAAACATAATTCAAGTGTTTGATGGGAAAGACACAAAAACTGAAGTACAAATAAAGGGTTCCGGTGAGATTTGCTCATTTATAAAAGTTTTGTATTTGTAAAACGTTACTGACATATGGATTTACAGTGTTAATATGGTATGGCAACCGGAACTGATTTATTCACGTATGAAGTTCTACGTTGTGATTGACTGAATGACTGACTGATGTACAGTGACAATAACTAGTCATCATGACGTTAAATGAACTAATGAACCGTTTCGTCAGTCGTGAAGTGTAATTTAAATGCCTTGTTTTGAGAATTCTCGAAATTTTTCACTCGTGACTAAGCATTGCTTACATCAAGAAACTTTGGTTCTCTGAAATCCAATCTGTATGCTTAGACAATTGAGTTGAAATTCAACAGTTCACATTTTTATATGTCTGCAATGAGAAGATATTAAAACGGGATAGTAGGTAGACAGCTCACTTCCGTTATTATATTGAAATGTTTTCTGGTCTTCAAAACACACTGATCGTATCAGATGCTATACGCTTCAGCAGTAGCTTCAAGTCAATACTACACTGCACATTCACTGCAAACTACTACTTACAAGCTATGATGTGAGTAGCACACACCACAGTATAACTTAATCAGTTACGAATTCTCACAAGAAATTTGGGAATCCAAATCGAAGATAATTAAATAAACAGTTCGAAAAATTCCATCTAAAATGTAATGAATTATCTTATTCTATCCTTATTCGAAATACATCCCAACTTGATAATATCTTAACTAAAAGTTACAAGTAATTAATATGATCATTTCTTACGCCTGTATCCCACACTAGAGCATAGGTCGCACACTAGCATTCTCGAAACAACTCTGTCCTCCACTGTCCTCTCCAGTTCTACCCAACTTTTTTCCATTCTTTTCATATCTGTCTCCGATTCTTGGAGTATTGTGTTCTTTGGTCATTCTCCTTTCCTTTGGCCTTGAGGATTCCAAGTGGTGGCTTGTCTTATGATGCATTTGTGTAATTTCCTCAATATATGTCCTGTCCACCTAAGGCGCCTCTTCCTGATCTGGTTTGTTCTCTCCCATAGTTGGTTGTTGCTCATGGTGTCTGGCCAACGGATTGGGAGTATTTTGCATAGACACTCTTTATTAAACACCTCTAGCTTCTGGAGTTTTTCCAATTTTCCGCCCCATGTAGTAGAGATGTCTTAACATTAGTATTGAAAAATGTGAATTTGATGTTGATTGATAGTTGTTTTCAGTTGTAGATGTTATTCAATCATAGAAATTCTATCCTCACTTTGCCTATCTGCGCCTTCACATCGGCATCAGATCCACCTTACTCGTCAATGATGCTGCCTAAATATGTAAAGGTTTTTAAGTCCTCCAATGCATCTCACCAATTGTGTTGTGTTGTATCGTAGAATCTGGTTTTCCCTTTTTGTATGATATATAAACCTACTGTTGCTGATGCACAGGCTTCTGCTATCCTGATCATCTTCTCCTGCATTTTCATAACAGCTACAAAATTATATCACAACTTGGCATAATTACTGAATTTCAGTCTGTTTAATTAGTTTACTATTTGTATACTTCATCTTAACTGACAATGCATTTCGACACACAAAAAAAATTGTTTTTACCTTGTAGAAAACTATTTAGCAATAAAATGGTTTCTTTCGAATACAAGAAATTCCAAAATAGATGAAATTCAAAATCATGGCATGTATTATTTTTATTTTGTTCAATGTACTTTTGTTTTATTAAATTAAATTAAATAACCTTGAATAATCATGACGCGTGTGTTACACATTGAACATGTTCAATTGTTCCTTGATTGGAAAAAAATTCAAATCTGTCACTTCTAAATGAAATACGTTAGCATCCAAGAAACAAGGAATCATTAAGTTAAAACATAGTTCTTTCACATTATGAAACGTGTATAAATAGAATTAGTTTTAAATTCATCGAGTGTATAACAGAAATTGTGATGAATAGTAATTTGTTTGAAACAATGGTCATTTCTGTTAATGATAAACATAAGTGTTAACTTTCGTTCTGTGACCAATAAGTAAGTAAGTAAAGCTTCGATTATCATTAGTGTACCCGGAAAAAAAAACACTGAACACTTTGTTCAATTCAGAATATTGAAAAAGTTTTCAATTTTCTGTTTTTTAAGATGTGACCCGTGAAGTTCAACTCTGTCAGGTGTACACAGTAACTACTCAAGACAAACAGTGAAGTTGCGCAAAACCTTAGATTGATCAAAGTTAGACAATAAATAACACAGTTGGATGCCAGCTCATCGGTCTACAGGTTATGTGACCGTGCGCGAGACCGACAGTTCTAGCTTCGATTCCCTCAGGCAGAGGTCATGGATACACAGACTGCTGAATAGTTCCATACTAAGATGGTTTCAAATACCAGTCTAACAATCATTGATTGATTCGTGATTCTAATATCATTATTTAACCGTTAGAAATAACTGAAATTTCGTTTAATCCGTTTGATGAATCATAGTTACACTTCAGTGTTAGTCATCAACTATGTACGTTTGTGTTCAAACAGTAGTAGACTTAAATTCACATCATAAGATTCGTCTCTAATCATCAGATATTTTGATACAGTCTAGTCCTAAAAAGAGTGTCATAATTACTGATTATCTTATACAAAATACATACCAGATAACATCAAATAAAATGTTAGTACACTTATTTTTTACTAATTAAAATCAAAATTGTAATTTTCTTCATATTTCAGTTCAGGTTGTCTGTATTGTCTATTCAAATGGAAATATATCTGTTTACTTTGAACAGGTAAGTTGAATAAATGTGTTAATCATTAAAACATTTATGGCTTCAATCGATAAGTCTACAAGTTTTTTTCTAAAGAGAAAAACACCGTAAATAAAGTCACCTACCAAAATCTTTTGTATTGTGTCAATGACCTTGTGGTGTGAGCTACTCATAAGTAGTATATGACGTGGGTGTCAACGTAATGTCTGGCAGCAGAACATGGGGGAAGATCAAGAAAGGAAGAGTGGGAACACAATGGAATTTGCATGAAACGCATGAATAGTGACAATGGATTGATGTTTTGCAACAGGAACAGTCCAGTTCAATATGATGAACTGATATTTTGCAAATGAACGATTTACGATATGGTTTTCCGATTTCACTGAGTAACTCTGTAATTTTCGTTAAATACAATCCAGTTGCCCCACCTGTGTTCTCCTTCACTACAACCTTCATTAGTTCACAGCAAAACAAATCGAGATATCATATCCTGTAAATTGGAAAATTGATTTCAAATGTTATTCAACTAGCGAAACAAAATGAAAGCGAAGACGAATTGAAAAAATTTCATTTCCTTGAAGTGGTGGCTTCCAAAGCGACAAAAACCGAATGGCTCTCTATCCGAAAATCAATAAATCAATAAAACGCTAACTGAGATGGAACAAGATACATGAAAGTGCATAGTTGGGCATTTTTGACTTGAAAAAGACGTCTGACGCAGGGAATAGTCAATGGAATACTAACAAGGACAAATCATATAACAGTTAGTGAATACTCACTGATAATATTTAATAAACTATCACCTTCATTGAAATCAACATAAAAATAGTCAGTTGAAAGTCAACTTGATTACCTCTAGAAATATATAAATGTGTTACTGAAATCACGAATCAGTCATTGTTAAACCACCATTAGAAATCTGGAAGTACTGACAGACGGCAGTTTCGTCCTGGTATGAGACTGGTCAGCAGTGCACGTCCACGAATCCTACTACTCACAGGATCCGAACCCAGGACTTACGGTTTATCGAGTCGGCATCCGAGTTCTAGTGAGAAGTCGTGATCAGTGGAGTTCAACCCTGTTCGGGTGTAGACAGTAACAACCGAAGACAGTGTATGAGGTTGCACAAGGCCATGATGAATCGATCGAAGTTAGACATTAACACTGTTAGAAACTGGCTCAGTGGCCCAGAGGTTAGGCGATCGCGCACAATACCAAAGGTTCCGGGTTCGAATCCTGCGAGGAGTAGGAGTCGTGGATGCCTACTGCTGATGAGTCCCATATCAGGACGAAGCGGCCATCCAGTGCTTCCAGGTTTCTAATGGTGGTCTAGTAACAATGATTGATTGATGATTTCAAATGTGTAAAAACACAAACCTCCACAACTCTGCCCCAGAAAACACTAAGCTCGTTCATTTTATGTAGTTCGTGGTCATGTTCATGATTAACTTTCTAACGAAAACTGACAAGAATCAAAAGTCCTGAAGTCAACTGAATAATGAGCTGAAATGCGAATACTTATAAACCATATTTATCTTTCCAATATGTTCTAAGTTGTTTGAATTAGTCAATATCAAATTTATATTGAACATTGTTTTCTAGATACCAAATGAGATTGAAGCAGACCTAAAGAATTTAACGCTTAAGTTGATTCATGCATTCGCTGACCAAGGTAATCCTATCAAACTGTGATGATAAATTCCTAGTGTGTCCGATTTGTCACTGTGAACATGATCGAAACAGTAGCATACCTGACTATTGAATTTTGAAGACAATGGTGCTTAAACAGAAAATTGTAACTCATATCATAAGACTAGATGTGTTAATGCGGGATTTCGAAACAATGGGATTATGTTGATGCACGTTAGATGTGTTATTCCCCCAGCATGGGTCATTACTTCAGCACAATTGCCGAACATAAACGAAACCTCATCATCAGTGTATGTATTGCATTTCTTGTAAGTAGTTATGTGGCGGTTCTCCTTCATCCGAAGCTTTAGCTCTGTTACAAACCGCTATTCAGATGACAATCAAACGGAAATAGATAAAACTGAACAGAGTAATTTCGCCTAAAACACTGACATGCCATCACCAGTTAGATGACATAATACCACTCATAGCACATTCCGAAATGATAAGTTTAAATCCACAACATATGTGTATCGTGATAAAGGCTCGTACATACACTTATGCCCTATAGTGAGTCTTGAGATGACAGTTTGTCAACACCACAGTAATACGACATTAAAAATTTTGTCTTTTTTAAAAAATGCAATCGATTCATTTGACATTGAATTGTCAGCCAGTTGTTTTTAATTTCTCATAGATAATCATCAGCATAAGCAAGAAATCGTCTCTACATACCTGGTGAAATCTGGCATGTTAGTTGAATTTACTCCTATTCCAGGTACGTAAGACAGATAATATACATACATAGGTATATATAACTTTTGTTTGTTACTGATTACTCACATCGTTTCCTAATGTGGTTTTCAATTAGATCTCCTATCGAAGGAGAGCATTCTATCAGCCGATTACTATTCTGAGACATTTCAGCGGAGGAGAACGTTTGAAAAAATATCGGATTTCCAATACTAATAATCATCCATACAGTACAGTCATACTGTTATGTCATATTGATTAGGCAACCTAGATAGGATGACCATTTCACCTTTAATAAAGTGATCTAACAAATTTGAGCATGTATAAACTGAAGCATGGCTGACAGGATGTTATTGGCTTATACGCGAATCACTTCAGATATTGGCTCTCTGACCGAATCAGTGAAAAAATTGCACCAATCAGTTATTGAAATTTTCAGGCATAGTGCTCACTAGTCACGAGCTTCATTAGGAAATCCCTGGAGTTCTAGTTGAGAAGACGTGACTAATGGAGTTCAACCCTGTCAGGTGTAGGCAGTAACTACCAAACACAAATGGGTGAGGTCGTGCAAAAATCCGTAGATCAATCAGAGTTAGACATTAACACCGTTGGATGCCGGCCCAGTGGTCCGATTGTTAGGCGTTCCTGGGTTAGGATCCTGTGAGGGGCAGGAGTCGTGGATGCGCACTGCAGATGGGTAGTCACATACCAGGACGAAACGGCCATCCAGTGCTTCCAGATTTCTAATGGTGGTCTAACAATGATTGATTGATGATTTCAAATTATTGGAATATTTCATTGAAATTCACCTCATTGGTGAACTATGTTCTCGATATGTGGAACATTATCACTTATAGTTTGGTTCAACGAAAGTGATTTTCGATGTAGGAATTAAGTGGATGGTTGATAATAAGGATTAACAGGTAAGAGGATGATGACTACGAAAGAACAAATCTATTTTCCATCTTTAGTGTGTTATGTTGTCGATAGTTAAGGCATAATTTCTCATTTTTCTGTAAATCCACTCCCAAAGTTTTGTGAAGCCACACGATCCGAAGGTACTTTGACATCACTTCTCTATGCATCAGACTTTTGCGAGTTAAATAGGTGTACACTGATGAATATTTCTTTTTTTTTCAACACGGAAGACTGTTCAAAATACAAATTTTGTGAAGATTGTAGTACTAAAGAGTACACACCAGGAAGAAAATGTCATTGGTGTCCGAAATTCGACCAGTGCAAACATCCTCGTGATTTCAACGTTGACACCTTACTCAAGCAAGATTGTATAATTCAAGTAAGTTAATCTAGTTTCACCGAATCTTGATGAGTGGGTTTTTAAATATATATATATGTAAATTTCATTTAGTACTGTCACATATACTCTACACGATTTCTTGTTATCTCGATGATAATTTATTTCATTTAACTGTGATACACTGGTCCGTTCAGCGACAACAACACTATCTGTTTACTAGTTTAGCTATCATTATGGTGTCGAGTTTAGTTGTCACAATACTTTTCAATTTAAAGTAGGTGCTGTTGTATATGATCGCAATTATCCAGAAGATACAAAGGTTGATTAGCAGTTGTCTATGCAAAATACTTCGGATCATTTGGCCACACAATATAAGCAACAATCTACTATGAGAGAGAACAAACCAGATTCCAGCAAAAGAATAAATCAGGATGAATCGTTGGAAGTGTGTAGGACAAACATTGAGGAAAGCTTCCTACTGAGTCACAAGATAGGCTGTCACTTGGAATCCTCATGGCCAACGGAAAAGAGGAAGATCAAAAAAACACAAGAAATTTCGACAGACACGAAAAGAATTAACAACAGCTGGACAAAACTAGAAAGTAAGGTAGAGGACAGAGTAGGTTGATGAATGCTGGTCAGCGCTGAATGCACCATCAGAGGTGACAGGCGTAAGTAAGTAAGTAAGTAGTAGCGAAAAATACAACTTGAAAGTAAATAAGTTGTGTATGATCATGCTTAATTGGCAAGTGAGAACACATATCGATTAAGTGGACTATTCTCGATTATCTTAATAGTCTCAAACGTTCATCACAATAACAGTATTCTTAGTTCGGTCCTATTAAATGTTTCACGTGTTATACAAAATCATTTCGAATATGACGTTCGTGTACTGTGAAAGAACTAACCACCTGCAGGTCAAAGAACATATTTGCATAAATTGTTTTAAGGTAGTAGACAGAAATAGTTAAACTTAGCTTTAGTTTTTGTGAATACCCACTCCACCGATGGGTGACTGCAATATTTTGGCAACTGATGTGAATTCTACACTCACAAACATTGTCACATTTTGTCATCGATTTGAGAATTACTACTAGGATGTTCAGTTAGGAACCAACCTATTGGACAAATGAATCATAATTGTGTAGTGATTGACAATTCGTTAAAATTCACAAGTTACTTTTCAAATACTTTGACATTTTTCGCAATCTCATTCTGTTGATTGAACAGGTATATAATTTCACTTGATTGATGCAACTTAATTAGCACAAAAGACTCGATAACCATAACTGTGGTTACTAAATGTGTAGAAATACAAATCTCCAAAACTCTGCGTGAAAATGTAGTAAGAGTGATCACTAGTGACTGGCTTCGTGAGGAAATTCTCGGAGTTCTAGTTGAGAAGACGTGACCAATAGAGTTCAACCCTGTCAGGTGTAGGCAGTAACTACCAAAGACAAATGCGTGAGGTCGTGCAAAATCCCTGAATCAATCAGAGTTAGACATTAACACCATTTGATGCCGGCCCAGTGGTCCGGAGGTTAGGCGTTCGTGCACAGTACTGAAGGTCTCAGGTTCGAATCCTGCGAGGTGCAGGAGTTGTGGATGCGCACTGCTGATGAGTCCCATACCGGGACGGAACGCCCGTATTTCAGTGCTTCCAGATTTCTAATGGTGGTCTAGTAATGATTGATTGATGAATTCAAATGTGTAAAACACAAATTTCCAAAGCTCGAAATGAAAATACTCAATAATAGCCTACCAGTATACCTTTCATTATTTTGCTTACTATGCCTTAATTTGAATTTATGACTCGCTATTTCTACCACATGATTGTAAGACGTTTCTTTGAACCACATCTCACCATCCAATCAGTCAGTCAGTCAGCTACAACGTAAAACTTAGTACTTACGCACGTACATCCAAGTTCAAGTTGCCGTGCCACTGTAGCACAAAGAGACGCAATTGTCGATTCAAATCCAATATTAGTAGAGGTGATAGAAGTATTAGTGGTAAGCAGAAACATCACGGTCCGAATATATTCAGAAAGTGCTATCCAGTGGAATTGATTTGAGAAGAGAAAGATGAAGGTCATGAGGAGTTTAGATAAGAAGTTAGGAGAAGACAAAGAATGGATGCATCTGCGCAATCACAAAGGATTTCGAGCATTGATATTTTCAAAGTCTCTGATCACTGGTTACGATTGTCTCGCGGACTCCAACCACGTAGTCTACATCTATCAACATGACTCAGTTCAGTTGTCAGTGACTTTATGGATTTGTGCAATGTTTTGTTTTGGACTCCCATAACATTCTTCCAGCCTACTTCTACACCACAAAACATCGCTCATCTTGGCAATCGATGGTCAGGTATACACAACACATGGCCCAACCATCTTAACTAATAAAGATTCACCACTTCCTCAACTGATTTGCCACCATCAGTTCAAATGCTTGTTCTACAATGTAAATTCTCCTGAAATAAACTTGAGCCTCTTCTAAAACTTAATCATACAATGATCTGTTCGATAGTCTACTAGAAAATGTGAGTAGAATACCCGATCAATGATTAAACAATATAAATTTAGGAGATTTTCATTGTTGAAAAAAGTACGTTTTTGTCATTGATACTGTTGTTCATTCATTAACATTGTGACAACATCAAAATTAAATCTTTGCATTACGACTAACAAATTTTTTTTGTGTGTGTTGGTTTAGCAAGTGGAAAGTTGTCCGGTGTCCACTAGCACACCGATGCCACATATCTCAACAGATCAGTTAAACGATAGACCAGATGAAGAAATCATAAAACCTGTGACATCAACCACAGAAAATGCTACAACAGGATCACAAACCAATGAAAACACAAAATCTACACTTCCATTGATTATGACCGACCAGTCAAACCAAACTGATAACTATCCGACAAACAATCCTACACCCACTCTCCCACCGATCATCATTACAAATCAATCATCTGATAATTTGATGCATAACACTACTCCAACGAACGTGGAAACTACTTCAAGCAATCCAATTAAATCTAATCATCCTCTATTATCACGTGATATACGACAGATTTATTCAATCACACATATTAATCAAGTCAGTATGCGTTTTTACTTTCACTTATTAATGCCGTTTATGATTGTGGCTGTTGTTTCAATCATCTCATTAATGTGTTGGCTAATTAAAAGACGATTGCGCATTGTCAATTTTCAAATAACTTGAATTTAGACAAATTGACTAACTGGAAATATAGATATATACATTGAAACTGTTCATTTCCATCCTTTTTTTCCATCATTTTTTGCAACACTAAAACTTACTACTATTATTATTATTTCAGTAGTAAATAAAAATATACTTTTATTATTGTTGTTTAAATTCGAAATAAAGTATTTTATGTTCCCTAGAAAAATTTCTAAACTAACAATTTCCACTTACAGTTTATTGACTGATATCAACCCTTTTGAAAATAATAGAATTTAAGTTTAACTCTCATCAAAAATGAAAAAGAATGTTTCAACAGAACTAAGATTGTTCACGTTATCATTCACGTTATCATCTACTATCAACTTTTAACATCCACAAATAAATTGATTTTTGGAAAGAAAAAACAATAAAATCAACATTGATTAATACATGTATTCATAATCACAATTAAGTAAATCTTAGCTAGTCAGTCAGTTAGTCATTCAGCTACAACGTAGAACTTCGTACGTACGTGGGTACGTACAGCAGTTCAAGTTGCTGTGCCACTGTAGCACAGAGGTGCAATTGTCTATTCAAATCCAATATTAGTAGAGGTAGTAGAAGTATTAGTGGTAAGCGGAAAGATCACGGTCCGAAGATATTCAGAAAGTGCTATCCAGTGAAATAGATTTGAGATGAGAAAGATGAAGGTCATGAGGAGTTTAGATAAGAAGTTAGGAGAAGACAAAGAATGGATGCATCGGCGCAATCACAAAGGTTTCTGAGCCACATCATTCAGGGTCTCTAACCATCGATTACTATCATATCTTGGGCCACAACCACGCAGTCTACATCTACCGACCTGACTCAATCCAGTTGTAAGTGTATTAGCGGTACATGGATGGATTATAGCATGATTGCGTTAGCTGCCCGCTGTGTGGCTGATTCCTATCCAAGCAGCGCCTGGTCGGTACTTGGAGAGCATTCTAGAAAATTCTCATGCTGTTAGCAGCACGCTCATCGGCTAAATATAATCTGATCACAGCTAGTCGTTACGTAGAGTACATTCCAGAAGTTTCTCATGTAAAAACTATAAAAATACTAACGTTGTTCCTCATTCCCATTCGCTTCGGCTTCTTACCCCCATTTAACCATTCTATTTGGAATATAATCTTTTACTTGTCCAACCGCGTTCTGATTTCGGGGCTTATCAAGTGCATTGTTGTCTGAGAATACTAAGCAACAGGAATAACTGTGTTTACTAAGAGAGATTTATAGCAAAGTGACTTCATGGATTCGTAACATGTTTTGTTTTGGCCGCCCCTAGCCTTCTTCCAACCTATACCTACATCAGTCATTATCGCTTGCCTAGGCAATCGGTGGTTGGCCATTTACAACACATGTCCCCCACCATCTCAACCAGTGAAGTTTCACTATTTCAATAATTACCCTGCTATCCTTACCTAGTACTAGTTTCCTAACATCAGCACTGTTGACTCGTTTTTCCCAGGATATACGAACAATGTTACGAAATTTCGGTTAACATGACAGTCATAAAAATATTCATCATAACGGCAGAATATAGAAGTATATCATCGAAAATTACAATACATTTATGATGAAATTCATTCATTCGGTTCTTCTAGTCAAACGTTCATCAACTGATCATAATCATAAATATGAAATACAAAAATAAACTTCTAAAATATAAAACAATATCAATTAGTATCGAGTCAAACAAATCATCAAAGCGTGTATCGTATTCGTTCAATTGTAAACGCTCAATGTACAATTTCATAGATGAGTTTGAAGTAATGTTTGTTTTGTTTATATACAAAGCAATAGAACCGTTTTAAAACTCTTGAGAATTTTGAACAAAAATGTAACTTATTCATTTAGGAAGAAGGGGCTAAGTGAGTGAGTGACACAGGCCATTTTGTACATAGATCGCAAGAAGAAATCACAACGTAACTCCAGCTATTGTCTGCCTTCCTCATCCACTGAGACGATTTTCCACTGACTTACAAATCACTAAACTAATTTCAGTTCCAAGATTTAATATCCAACAGAACGGAACATTGAATAGTATGTTTGTGAAGATTATATGAAGAAATATTTGTGTGAAAAATATTAATGCTACTGTATCTTAATTTCAGTAGTATTTACAAAAAATGGAAAAAAATGCGTTGTAATGCATCGTTAAATTAGTTTATAAATTAGCTGTTATCATTGAGAATAATTAATAGTGAATAATGGTGATGGTAAATTAGACTGTGTCTTGTCAGTTGGATTGTACAAAGTTCCAGTTGAAGTAATCACACTGAATTCTAGAGGGGAAAAAATAAAACAGTATTAGGGACAAGTGTAATTCAATTGGATTTCATTATTACAATGTAAATCTGATGAGATAATGATTCAGACTTAAAAATCAAACTGGAAAGGAAACATGGAAAGTTACACTCGATAGTTGATTATTTCTTTATCTGTCTGATTTTTCGGTCAATTTGATTATCAGTCGAAGATTGTAACTCTTGCATAACACTTTAATTCAGTGACATAATAGTTAAACTGATAAACAGAAAGCTCACAATGTCTTAACATCCAAACTAGCTTTTGAGGTATTTATACTGAGGCTAAATGTCACAATATTACAACCGATCAATATAAAAAACATGAAAGGAACGTATGGTTGACAGACTTATAATTATAAACATGGAGAAACATTTATGTGTGAATATCAATACTATAATCCATGTAAATTGAAGTAGAATGAAAGCTGAATCCTCGATAGAATCCGAATTCACTTAGATTTGTGAGCATCATTTATTGATGTTAAGTATCATATGAAAAGTAGGTAAAATTTTCAACTAATCACTGTGTCAGAGTTTGCAAATCAAAACTAAAGTACTTTATGATGCGAAGTGTTCGAAACTTTTCATGAAGTCTTTCTTGTTAACAAATCTAGTCATGGTATAAAACTCTGATTGAATACTCTGAGGAGATCAATAAACATGTCACAACTTAATCATTTTGGAGTGTAGTCAATATTATTAGTTCTGGGGTACCTGTGTGACCTCAGTCAGAATTTTTTGATACAAATGTCAATACAGTGCTACTGTATGGATTAGAAACGTGGATATCGACCAAATCTATCATCCAGAAGATACAGGTGATTATTAACAGTCGTTTATGTAAAATATTGAGGATGCATCTGCCAGACACCATGAGCACCAAACTATTGTGGAAGAGAACAAACGATATTCCAGGTGATCAGTAAATTAGTAAAAAGAGTTGTAGGTGGAGGAAAGCACCCAACTGCATCACAGGACAAGCCCTCACTTGGAATCGTCAAGGTCAAAGGAAATGAAGTTAATTAAGGAACATTCTGCTCCGAGCACTGGAAACAGACAAGAGAAGAATGAACATCAGTTGGATAGAACTGGGAAAGAAGGCCAATGAATGAATTGGTTGACGAAGGACGGTCGAATCGATTTCGAACTTCCGCACAGGTTTTACGAATGGGACAAATTCATCAACTGTTAATCACTAACACGAATTTCAATACAATGCAAAAAGAACAACTAAATGTAACCATCTTGTAGAGTCTATTACATCATAAGCGAAAGGTCAATCCTTCGATCCAAGCTCTCATTGTCCGACTAAGGTAAACTCGTAATAGTTCAAGCATATCAAATGACGTGTTTTCGTGCATGCGGAACAGGAAGCATTGGGCTATTCGGAAATAAAAACTCCGTTTATGTGTATAGAATCACGGTATTCTAATCATGAATTCACTTTGGTAATCTTTAAGACATTTTAAGGTGTAGGGTAGTATGACAATTTTCCAACCCTTTCTTACTCTTTCTGTATTACGTTAATTTACTCTCTCTTCACAACCCCGTAATGTAGGTTACCTGTGCTCGCTAGTGACTAGCTTCATGAGGAATCTTTTCCGAGTTCTAGTGCGAAGACGTGACCAGTGAAGTTCAACCCTGTCGGGTGTAGACAGTAACTACCGAAGACTGTGTATGAGGTTGCGCAACTCCGTGAATTGATCAAGTTAGACATTAACACAGTCGGATGCCGGCTCAGTGGTCTGATGGTTAGGTGTTCGCGCACAATACCTAAGGACCTGGGTTCGGATCCTGCGGGGTGCAGGAGTTGTGGATGCGCAGTGCTGATAGCTAGTCCCGTACCAGGACGAAACGGCCGTCCAGCGCTTCCAGGTTTCTTTCTAATAGTCGTCTAACATTGATTGATTCATGGTTTCAAAAATCTCTTCTGCATTAACAATGATCACCTTATATGTCTCTATCTGAACTTTTATTTTTAACTGACCTCTTATTAATCTTCATTTGAAATGCCGTGAGAAGTAAGTATACATGTGTGTGATCAGATTGTTCGAAATATGTATAGCGCGCAAATACACATCACAACATTTTCCAGATCAAAGTTTCATGGAAAAACGGAATAAAAATTTGTAAAAAACTTACTTGAAATTTCTTTTAGCTGATCACTATTCTCGAAATTCGGAATGCACAGAGTTTTTATTCTCTGAGATAAGAAAAGGAAAAAGAATGTATGAGAAGAGACACAACGACAACAATAACGATACAAGATTAAACAAAAATCAAATGAACTAAAATTTTGCGGGAGAAACACACATTTTAACTTTACATTACGGGGTTGTGAAGAGTGTTAAGTTACACATTTGAAATTACGAATTAATTAATGTTAGATTGACCATTAGAAACGTGGAAGCACTGACAGTCGGTCATTTCGTCCTGGTTTGGGACTAGCCATCAGCACTGTGCATTCACAACTCCTGCACCACGCAGGATTCGAATCCAGGACATTTGGTCTTGCGCGCGAAAGCCTAACCTCTGGACCACTGAGCCGGTATCTAACAGTGCTATCGTTTAACTTCGATCAATTTACTTTAGTCATCAAAACTGACGACTAATGAACGCTTCAATCAATTTAATTTCTCATTAAAAGTCGAAACGTTATAACTGCACCTGTTTAGAATAGGTGTCGCACATAAACCAGTAAAAATATTTTCAATTAATCCTAAGTAAACGAAAGGATAAAATGACAAACGAAAGGCTTCCATATCAAGATAGTGAGAAGGTGGAAAACGTGTATAGTTCAGGTCGATGATTAAGGTGGAGATTTGTTCTGTCAGCTGGAAGGTTCGATCGTGAGACTTTCAATTTTCTTCAGAACAATATCATCGACACAAACTTCACGTTTAGAAGTGAAGTATTCAAGTTCCTACGTATATGACTGACAATTCAAATCCCATAGTGGTAGATTTAGTAGAAATGTGAGCAATAATCGGCAATTCTCGGAGTTCTAGTGAGAAGACGCGATCAGTGGATTTCAACCCTACTGGGTGTAGGCAGTAACTACCAAAGACAAATGGGTGAGGTCGCGCAAAATCCCTAGATCAGTCAGAGTTAAGCAATAACACCGCTGGACTTCGGCCTAGTGATCCGATGGTTAGGCGTTCACGTATAATACCGAATGTCCTGCTGATGAGTAGTCCCATACCAGGACGAAACGGCCGTCCAGTGCTTCTTGCAGGTTTCTAATGGTGGTCTAACAATGACTGATTGATGATTTCAAATGTGTAAAAACACAAATCTCCATAACTCTAATCGAAAATAATCGGAAAGATTAGCGCTTGAAGATGTTATTGAAGGAATATTATCTAGTGAAGTAAATGTAGGAAGAGCAAGGTGAAGGTCATAAGGAATTCAGATTAGAATTTGGGAGAACACAAAGAATCGATTCACCTGCATCACTGCAAACGGTTTTGAGCCATGTCATCTAACGGACCCCAACCAGGTAGTCTACACCTGTCAACATGGCTCAGTTCACTTGTAAGTGATCATACAGTTTTATTCTAAATAAATAACTGGTTTCATGTTGTTGACAAGATTATATTGAATAACTAAAAAGCTTTATCAACAATACTTGCATTGATCCTCACCAGAAAAAACAAGCAATATTGAAGAAACAAAGAAATGAAATAAAATGAATTACCTGTACAAATGTTCCTGATGTTTTGCAAATTTTAATAATCATTACCAATGGTATTAACAATACACTAGAACTAGCTATACACCATCCAACTTTTACAGCCCATCGAGGAAATCGATACGGTTCCGGCAATGATGCACGTCTATACGTCAATTCTTCATAGACAATCACGCTGATAATGAAAAGAGCCTAGAATATTTTTTTCAGGATGAAAAAACAAATTGAAAAAGAACATAGAGAAGTGTTGTTGAAAGGTTAATTTGAACATAAATTTTTATGATAGACTAATGGTAATTGTAAGTGTAAGATCCATTTTTTGAAGGTGTTGTTTGTCAAAATCCCTCCATATATAAATTTTTGTAATTTGTCCTTATTGATTCATTCAGTTGTACATTTTGTGAATCAGTTCGATTCCATCTTGAAATGTTAATATTTGTATTTTATTACAGTTTCTATTTGTTCTGCTTTTACTGAGATTCTATGTTTCTTTCTGAACTGCATTTATGTTGTTTAAGCTTATATTTAGTCATGGCGACAGCCGTATTGATTTGTTCCTCTTTTGACTGTGTTGCTTGCGTTGACTGGAATTGTGTATTTTGATTGTGAATTGAAGCACTCTTCTAGAATAGGAAATACTCTGTGCTATAAAGCAACCAAATATTATCCTCTGAACGAATCTGATCTATCCAGGAGGGATAGAATATCATTTATCTACTGTGGATTTTATTAATTGAACAGTTGTTGGTGGAATAACTGAGTAGTAATATTTGTTTCGGTAATGATGTACATTTATATTTATGATGAATTTTAGAACCGTTATTTACCCAATCACTTGTTTTGATTTGGACTGAGCAAGACGCGTATCTAATCTACCTAGACAGTTATTCCTCAGTTCAAACCTCAGTTTGGATCCTACATAAGAACTGTACAGTTATACTTCTCGAATCATTTAATTAGATCCTAATACATCTCCATTACTGTGAATAATTGTACTACCTGTACTAATGTGGTGTGAGCTACTTATAAGTAGTATATGACGTGAGCGTCAACGTAATGTCTGGCAGTAGAAGATGGGGGAAGATCAAGAAAGGAAGAGTTAGAACACAATGGAATTTGTATGAAACGCATGAATAGTGACAATGGATTGATGTTTTGCAACAGGAACAGTCCAGTTCGATATGATGGACTGATATTTTGCAAATTAACGATTTACGATTTGGTTATCCGACTTTACTGAGGAACTCTGTAATTTTCGATAAATACAATTTGGTTGCCCCACCTGAGTTCTCGTTCACTACAATAGTACTCAGTTATCCGTGAAATCGCCAAATAAAATCATATGAGCTTCCAAGATCCGAATGTTATTCAGTATATCGTCATTGTTCAGCTGTACCAAATATTATCACTAAATACTTCGGACAGAAGTGAATTATTATGATTTTTTTCACAGCTGATTAACAAATGGTTCCGTTTATTTGAAATCCGGTATGATTTTTCGTTATAGAGTTATGGAGATCGATTGAAATTGTGAATCGGTCATTGTTAGAACAACTATTAGAAACCTGGAATCAATGGACAGACGTTTTGGCCTGGTATGGGACTCATCAGCAGTGCACATCCAATCGATGAAGCCACTCAAAATTCTTAGATTGATCAGAGTTAGACATCAACACCTTTAGATGCCGGCCTAGTAGTCTAAAGGTTAAGCGTTCACGCACAGAGCCGAAGATCCGGTGTCGGAATCCAGTCCTAGATGCTCACTGCTGATGAGTCCCATAACAGGACAAAATTGTCGTCCAATGTAAGTATTAAAATAAAACTTTTAAAATAATTGAATAATTTTAAACATAGATGGAAACTGGCTAGAAGTGGAATTCAGGATGTGCACTTCATTCTATTTCGGACTCATCCCACAGTTGTTATTTACTTCAATACTCGAACACATGCGAACAACGTCACCTCATCCACTTAATTAATGAGTCCACATAACTACTGACTTGTGCAATGAGGTGTGTGGATCTTCTCGGTGACAGTTAGAACTGCAACTGATCAGTCTTGAATGACGAAAGGCGTGTCTTGTATTTCACTGTTAGTAACCATCTATCTCTGCTTATATGGCGTGCGACCAAATAGAAATACCGAGGCGATCCTTAATATTACAGTATTACACCAATATAGTGCTAATTACTTTCTTTAAAAATAAACGGCATCCATTAAAAGATACTTGAATCGATTAAAGTGTTTTACTAACTGAAAAAAATACTACAAATGTATTCCGTCGATGTTAAAAAAAACCCTTATTCCAATAATCCTTCAGGCCTGCGAGCGAAAGCCTAACCACCGGACTGCTGAGACGTCGTCTGATCACTCTACAGATTTCGCTCATCCTCATTCACTTGTAAACGGAAGTGACTGCCTACACCCGACCGGAGTGACTACCACTGGCTATTTCTTCTCGCTCTAGAACTTCGAGAAACTGACGAAAGCTAGTCACTAGTGATTTGATTTAAATGTAAATTTTCTAGTAAAACTTACCAAAGTAAATATTGGTGTTATTATGCACCAAAATAAGCATGTCATCCATTTTAATGAGAAGCCATACATTATTTCCATATCATTTGAAATACGTTTATAACCTACAAGTGAGAATAATAAGAGAAAAGAGAATTTTCAAGAAAGGATTTTTTTTAGATTTACAAGCTTGAGTTGTCAAAAAGTTGCTTGCTTCCATAGGTCATAGTTTGCCGAAGTTCTCATTCACCGCATTAGATGAATTCTAACCAATAATCCCTTGCTATTGTGCCATAAGTATTACTGTTACGCCTGCACGTAAACACGTCATTTTGATATGCTTGAACTATTACAAGTTTACCTAGTCGGAAAACGAGAGCGAGGATTGGGGATCCGGCAACACGACATGCTACTCAAATCCGATTGTTTCAGCCTCCCGTACTGAGTAAAAATAAGAAGACTTGATATGAAATAGAACATATATTCTACAAGCATCCAGAAAGTACGAGGTCCGAATCCAGAAGAGAATCAGGATCCCAGACTAGGGATCCGAGACCGAGCCCTGGTCCTGGTCCTGGTCATAAAACGTTACAGATAATGCGTATTTATACATTTTGGTCGAATAGGAAACAGCATCGAAGTCTGTGACATTGACAGTTAAGACGACCAATAGGAAGCAACATTTGAAATGACACTGATAGTCAGGACAACCAATAAGAAACAACATTGGAGTGTGACATTGATATCTAGGACGACCATAAAATTGACCAGTAGGAATTAAGCAATAGGAATTGACCAATAATTCTCTTAGGATATTGGATGAATATCCTAACAATTACATCATTGATAAGCCAGTAAATAGTTACGAAAACTGTATTTTGTATCAACCACTGAGGACTCTTAAACAATGGTGAAATAAATGACTTATACACATTGGCTCTCATTGTTCGTGCAGTTCATCTCTATCATTAATGGAAATAGTTTTCAGAAGCATGAAATTCTGTGCAAAGAAAAATATATGTTTCATTGCTTTTCTACAACTTTGGCATGCCTAACTTGAGAATTTTTGAGAAAAAGAAAAATTCAGAAGATTAAAAATTTAAGAGTAGACAAAGAATGTATGCATCTGAGCGATCGCAAACTATTTTGAGCTATCTCATTCAAAGTCTCTAACCCCAACCAGGTAGTATGCACCTTAGCACACGGCTCAGTCCAGTGGTCAGTGACTTCATGAATTTGTGCCATGTTTTGATCTGGCCACCCCTAACTTTCTTCCAGCCTGCCTCTACATCGCAAAACACCGCTCGTTCAGTCAGTCAGTGATTGGGAATTCATAACACTTGTCCCAACCATCTCAACTGATGAAGATTTACTACTCTATCAGTTGACTTGTTATCCTTATTGAATAATCTACTCTACTAATACCTAACTATTCAACTTATCACCTTTAATCGTAGAAAAATTTGAATGAATAAATATTTCCCTTTAAATAAAACGACATTTGAACTAACCATAAATATAGCCAATAACTATGGATTCTAACAATCCGACAATCAATATGATGCGACTTCCACTGTAATAGTCAAGTAATTGAAATACGTACATTCCACCCTACACACACACAAAAAAAACAATGCTTACATACAGAGAGAAAAGTTATTGTATACTGATGAAATATGTGACAAGTTATTTAATCCAAAGATAACTCAACTGAAAAGAAATCGATAGATTATTCTTTAAAATGTCTTATTTGTATAACCAGAATGATGGAGCTTTCACAGTGTCATTCGCCCCATCAGTATTCACAGGTAAAGTTAAGCAATTTTTTTTTCAAAATAAGCTTCATTTAACCTTAAATGTTTGCTAATCAATAATAGGTTACTGTTATTATATCCCCAATGTTTTTTATTTCAGTTTACTCTTTCTTGTTGTACTCTTTTTAATTAATAGAGAAAAAGTGAAGTGATTGTCAGATATCTCTCATCATTGTCAAAAAAATTCCATTTCCTACTTACGCCTGTTAACCCCAATGTAGAATGGGCCACTGACCAGCATTCTCAAACCTACTCTGTCTTCTGCCTTCATTCCTAGTTCTGTCCATTTTTTTGTTCATTTTCTCTTTATGTGTGTCTTCATTTCTCGACGTAATGTATTCCTTGACCTTCCTCTTTTTTAATTGCCTTGGGGAGTCTAGGAGAGGGCTTGTCTTGTGACGCTGTTGTTGGATGCTTACCCACCTCTAGTCGAAGTTAACAATGCATCCTCATGAAAATAGGCAGTCACACATTATAATGACTCTTCTAACAAAGACACTTTGTGTAAGTAACAGAGTCATAAATATCAAATCAACTTATAAGGTCAATTGGATTTTATGAAATTGGCACAGATCAAACGTTATACAATAATTTGTCGATATTTTCGGGCAGAGTTTTGGAGGTTTGTGTTTTTACACATTTGAAATCATCAATCAATCTTTTGTTAGACTAACATTAGAAACCTGGAAGCACTGAAAGATGGGCTATCCGTCCTGGTATGGGACTCATCAGTGGCAGTGAGCATCTAAGACTCCTGCACCTCGTAGGATTCGAACCCGGGACCTGTGGTACTGTACGCGAACGCCTAACCTTCGGACCACTGGGCCGGCATCCAACGGTGTTAATGTCTAACTCTGATTGATCTAGGGATTTTGCGTGACCTCACCCATTTTTCTTTGGTAGTTACTGCCTACACATACCCGACAGGGTTGAACTCCATTGGTCACGTCTCCTCAACTAGAACCCCGAGAATTTCCTCACGAAACTAGTCACTACCGATCACAGTTACGATATTTTGGGGCAGAGTTTTGGCACATTTGAAATCATCAATCAATCATTATATCATGTTACTATATATTCATTAGCGTAACTAAACAAATCAAGAATTTCAAATTTAAATAATATGTTCAATTATGTACAAAACAATTGAAATATTGAATCAACTTACATTAGTAACCATTGATAAACCAACTAAAAATGAAGTAACACATACACTACCAACAAATACACAACGAAATCGTGTGTTTGTTAAAGCATGAGGAAAATAATCTCCGGCAGATGCAATAAAACCTTCAACACCAGCGAACTATTTAAAAATGATGTAAATATTGATTTTTTTTGCAGTAAATGAATTATTTAAAAAAGTAATGTTAAGATTTAATTTGTATGTAAAATATAACGATAACTAATTGAGCAAGTAACTTGTCAAAACAAAAAACAGTTTTATCTTTCATTATACATTATGACATTATTGCTAAAGCTATCGGTGATCCACAGGTGAAGCCCCCGTTTACTAGACTGTAGGTCCTGGGTTCGATTCCTGTAAGCAGCAGGAGTCGTGGGTGTGCACTGTCACTGATGAGTCCTATACCAGTGTGGTGCGAGCTACTTATAAGTAGTATATGACGTGAGTGTCAACGTCATGTCTGGCAGCAGAAGATGGGGGAAGATCAAGAAAGGAAGAGTGGGAACACAATGGAATTTGTATGAAACGCATGAATAGTGAGTGACAATGGATTGATGTTTTGCAACAGGAACAGTCCAGTTCGATATGATGGACTGATATTTTGCAAATTAACTAACGATTTACGATATGGTTTTCCGACTTTACTGAGTAACTCTGTAATTTTCGTTAAATACAATTCGGTTGCCCCACCTGTGTTCTCGTTCACAACACCAGGACGAAACGACTATTCAGTGATTCCAGGGGATATAACATTGGTTGATTGATAGTTACAAAAACTAACTCAACAATCTCCACAACCCTACAATGAAAATATTCAATATCCATCTTTCTTTTGTATAAACCTGATCATATCTGTTAATCAACATCACATATGTAAACATTCCTAAAATAATTCATTTGTATTGGTGATTTCGGATTACCCACTGACGTTTAGGATTGCAATTGATTAATACCAGTTACAAAGTAGAATTACGTACATGAGTACATAAGTTCAGGTTGCCATGCCCCATCAGCACAGAGACGCAACTGTCAGTTTAAATCCAATAGCGTTAGCGATTGTAGAAGTATTAGCAGTAATGGAGAAGATTAGGGTTCGAAGATATGATTCGAAAAGTATAATTCAGTGAGATAAATTTAGAAAGAGAAAGGTGGAGATGAAGAGGAATTCAGAAGGTTAAAATTAGAGAGAACACAAAGAGTGGATGCACCTGCGCCATTGCAAACGATTTTGAGCCATGCTAGTCAAAGTCTCTAACCGTTGGTGACTTACGTCTCGCGGACCCAAACCAGGTGGTCGACATTTACCAACATGGCTCAGTCCAATTATCAATGACTTCATCGATTAATGCCATGTTTTGGTTTGGCCGCTCTTCGATATATGTGCATCCTCCTATGAGAACCATCTCAATATTTCTATTTAGTTGCAAGCATTAGAAACGTAGATGAATGGTTAATAGTAGCGAAATCCCAGAAGCGTGTTTCATCATCTGAGACTGATCAGTTGCAGTCCAAACTATCAGGGGGATAATTCGAAATACCAATACAAATGTATCATGCATCACACCATTTTGCACAAGTCAGTGATTTTGTGGACTCAGTAGTTACGTGGATAAGGTGATTTTATTTGGAGGCGATAGTACTGTGTTCAAGTATCTGAGTGAATACAAACTGTGAGATGTGACAGATACATTCATTTTACAAGTTCGAAATAGGACAAGATGGCTGACATCGTGGATTCCACGTCTGGATTCTGTTGATAATGTCGATAATTCTTAAGATATGACGTTCAACATTACACATTTGAAAACATTTAATTCTATTTCAAAAACACACATTTATAGTTTGTATTACAAGATGGCAAACTGTAAATGTTTGTTGCCTATCAGTTAACAATAAACTGTTAAATTAAATCCTGATAATTTTTGTCAACTAGTTTTATTCAAAATAATATTTTATAAATAAAATTGATGGTGTTTAATAATTCGTAGTTGATGGAGAGACGGAATTCTTCTGATGTATTAAACTGCACAATCGTGCATGACGGACAGCTCACATACTTGTTCGAAGTGAAAACCGCTGTCATGCAGAGTTGCTTACTCATACCCTTTCTCTTTCTCCTGGTGGTTGACTGGATTGTGAAGACGTCAACACTTAAGGGGAAGCAAGGGGATTCAGTGGACTGGTAGGATACAGCTGTATGATCTAGTCTTTGCAGACAATCTGGCTCTTCTAGCACACACACAAGATAACCAGTGTAGTAGCGGTCTTTGCAGTAGCAGGTTTTAACATACACAGAGGAAAAAGTAAGATTTTCCAATACAACACAACCTGCACAAACCATATCACTCTTCATGAAGATGCCTTGGAGGACGTAAAAACCCCTACATATCTGGGAAACAAAAGTGATGAGCAAGGTGGATCCGATGCCAGAGCAGCACTTCTGCAACTGAAGAACTTTAGCAACTGAAGGCAACTATCGAGTAACACAAAAGTCAAAATTTTTATTACAAATGTCAAGACGGTTCTACTGTATGGAACGAAAACTTTTGGAACTATGACAGCCATCATCCAGAAGATGCAAGTGTTCAAAAACAGTTGTTTACTCAAAATAGTTTGGATCTGTAGGCCAGATATTATCAAGAACAACGAACTGTGAGAGAGAACAAACCAGATTCCAGTAGAGGTCGACATGAGGAAGAATCACTAGAAGAGGATAAGACACACATTAAGGAAAGCATCCAACTGCATCACAATACAAGCCCACATATGTATGACCCTCAAGGTCAAAAACACACATTACACCGAGAGCTAGAAGCAGACATGAAAAGTATGATCAAAAAGTAGACAGAACTAGAAACGAAGCCGCAACACGAAGTAGCTGAGAGAATGATGGTGGGTGACCTATGCTCCACTAATGGGGTGACAGGCGTAAATAAGGTAGTAACAATACTAGATAAATACATGCACAAAACAATGAAATGTTCTATTGACTTACCATACTATCAATACCCAATAGAATAATCATGATAAAGAAACATACAGACCAGAATGAACTACCTGGCATAGTACCAATTGCTTTTGGATAAACAACAAACCCAAGACCTGGACCAGATTCCGCAATTTGATTCAATGGTATATTCGATATGTAAGACATATAACCAAGTGTAGAAAATATCACACAACCAGACAACAGACTTGTACATGTATTAGCCAAAGCAAATAGACAACAATCTCTGAATGGAAAAAATTATATAAGCATGATGTTGATTAGTTAAACAAGAAAAACAGTAAGTTGAAATGATAAATTTATTGACTTACCTACGCCTGTTATCCACCAATGGAGCGTAGGTCGCCTATCAGCATGCGCCAACCCCACATTGTCCTCCACCTTCCTGTCAAGTTCTACCCAATTGTTGATGTTCCTTCTTCTCATGTCCGTCTCCATTTTTCGGCGTAATTTGTTATTGGGTCTTCCTCTTTTCCTTTAGCAATGACGATTCCAAGTGGGGGCTTGTCTTGTGAAGCGGTTTTGGTGCTTTCCTCAATGTGTCTTATTCATTTTCAGTGCTTCTTCCACTAGAATCTGGTTTGTTCTCCCACACATTAGGTTACTGCTGATGATGTCTGGAGAACAAATCTGGAGTATCTTTCGCAGACAACTGTTAACAAACAGGTGTATCTTTACTAGACGTCTTCATAATCCAGTCTACCACCAAGATAAAGAGAAAGGATTACAGTAAGCAATCTTGCCTGACATCAGTCTCCACTTCGAACGAGTCCGTCAGCTGTCCTCCAAGCGCAATTTTGCAGCCTAATCCACCATACGAATTCCGTATGATGTTGACTATCTTCTCAGGCACGCCATAGTGTCGAAGAAGCCTCCATTGTATTATCCTATCCACGATATCAAATGCTTTCTCGTAGTTAATGAAGTTGATATAAAGTGCTGAATTCCATTCAATTGATTGTTCCACAATGATCCGTAATGTTGCAATTTGGTCGGTACATGATCGATCCCTACGAAATCCAGCCTGTTGATCTCGACGTTGGGCGTCTACGGAATCTTAAATTCTGTTTAAAAACATGCTGTTGAAGACTTTGCCTGGTATCGACAGAAGAAGTGATGCCTATGTACTTCTCTCACTTGCTGAGATCGCCTTTTTTCTGTCTTGAACAGGTTTCCTTCTTCCTATTCTGTTGGTACTTATTCTTCATTGCAAATCATGCTGAATAGAGCGTGGAACATGTTTGCTGTTACTGCTCCGCCTGCTTTCATTGTTTCTGCTAGAATGTTGTCCTGTCCTGCTGCTTTACCAAAACGATAAACTGGTCGAAGAGAAATTTACCATAATTAAGATTGGAAGTGCCTTTTTTTCCAAGCTATATGATGATGACGCGCGTTTCAGATGTACCTAAATTTCAGAACTGACGATGTTTGAAGCAAGTTGTACTGGATTAAACTCATGGAGTGACTTTCAATTCTAAGATTCAAGTAAATCTATCTGATAAGTCATAAACAGAAAGAAACGCCCGTCCTGGATTCCACTGTCACATACATCTTATCTAACCTATATAAATTTATGTTATATTATGTCTGTATTGAAGTAAGTCGCATAAGATATTCATCTACGAACCGAAAAAGATCAAATTTCAGTCAAAATATCTACAATGGTATAATCTGAATCATTTCCAATTGAATTAGATCACTCTGTCCCAATTATTAAAAACGTCAACAACTCGGTAAATTGTCATCATGTTACACCTGCACGTAAACACGTCATTTTGATGTGCTTGAATTATTATTACGAGTTTACCTAGTTGGAAACGCGAGAGCGAGGATCGAGTATTCGGCAACACGACATGATAATCAAATCCGATTATCCCAACCCCCATATTGAGTAAAAATAAGAAGACTTGAATGTGTAGGAGAACCTGTATTCTACAAGCATTCAGAAAGTACTCATAGTATTTATACATTTTGATCGAATAGGAAACATCATCGAATTCTGTGACATTGACAGTTAAGACGACCAATAGGAAGCAACATTTGAAGTGACATTGATATCTAGGACGACCATAAAATTGACCAGTAGGAATTAACCCATAGGAATTGACCAATAATCCTCTTAGGATATTGGATGAATATCCTAACATATTATCACTGTCATAGCTAGAATTCTTAGTACTAGTTGTGAAATATATTACACCAGATGTTCCCTATTTACCAAAAGTCTCTAGTTGACGTACGTAGTTGACACCATAATCGTCAACATCATAAAATTAAATAGCTCGGGGGGAGGAACTTTTTAAAACGTATCAACAAAATGTGTTTATATGTGATCAGATATAATGACTGTAATGCTACATATGTAGGTGAAATATCAAAGCAGTTGAATGTGAAGGTGACAGAAATACACACGTTGCCTAAAGCACATTCCTAAATACTCAGAAGACTTAATAAACCTAGGGAATAAGTCAATGATAGTATGACACTTAATAGAATCTAGTCATACAGTTGGTTCGATTCACACAAAGAAAGATCACTAGTTGAAGACCTACATTTGTGAGGTCATCCAGACACTAATAATAGGTGAGTTGGAATACAATTAGCTGAGTTACTTTTTTAAATCACGAATCGATCAATATTAGATTACCATTAGAAACCTGGAAGTACTAGACAGGAGTTTCGTCTTGTTACAAGACTCATCAGGAGTCTTAACACACTTTTCACATCAATCGCGTCATACACACCACAGTTAATCTCACTTTCTGCATTATTGGCATGAATAGATGATCGGTTTAACTGGGGAAGTTTTCATTTTCACTCGATAATTTTGATGTTTTTTGATAATTCCTTGCAAATGCTTGAACAAGATTACAAAGCAAAAAGCTAGGATTTATACAAATATTCCAATCTCTGAGACTTAAAAATATAATTCTCCTCTTAGATGTCTCTTTGTTATTATAAATTTAGATTTCAGTTATTGTATGAATGTCTTCGACAGGTAGCATCAGTCAGTCGTATTCGATCATTGACAGCTTTCTGTACTACTTCAATTGGTACAACTATTTGTTTTTCTATCTATCATGTATGGTATAAGATGTTTGAGTTCCATGGAATATATCTCTTATTAAGTGGTAAAGAATAAATAAAAGTCAAAACGTGCTGGAAAGTACAGCGTTTCCGTTAGTAATTTTTTATTATTTACCAGCGCGGTAATTCGTGATGGTTCTGACATAGATCCTCCGACCGTAGCTGCTACCTTGACGTGGTGGTCGGGCTTGACTATCGCGATGACCCAATCGAGCTATATTGGCTGGAACATAAGTTCTTGTAGGTTATACCATGCCAGGCAGGTCGATTGGAGAACGATGAGACTAAAAGCAGTTACCCAAGGTCTGAGGGCGAAGTCGTATTGCTCACTGTAGAGGGGTGTGGCAACAGTATGGTGTTTCCCTTGGGCAATCAGCATCAACAGCGGCGCTGCCTTCTCATAAGGAAGGAAGGGTTAGAAAAGGTCGACCCTAAAAATGTCACACCTAATCCTACCTCACGGATTGCCATCGGCGGCGGTAAGGGCTTTTAATCAAGAGAGGAGCTAACACTCTAAAAACTTCTCATAAAAAGGCCGTGCGTGACCGAACTCAAGCAGTCTTAAATGTCCTCTTATTCTTTCAACCAAAAACAAAAGCTTTTAAGATTTAACACACCCATAGGATAAAGAAATATTTGAAATCATCAGTCAATCTTTGTTACTAGACCACAATTAGAAACCTGGAAGCACTGAAAGGTGGCCGTTTCGTCCTGGTATGTGACTCATCAGCAGTGCGCATCCGACTCCTGCTCCTCGCAGGATTCGAACCCTGAACTTTCTGTATTGTGCGCGAACGACCAACCATCGGACCGCTGGGCCGGCGCACAACGGTGTTAATGTCTAACTCCGACTGATCTATGGATTTCGCGTGACCTCACCCATTTGTCTTTGCTAGTTACTGCCTACACCCGATAGGGTTGAACTCCATTGGTCACATCTTCTCAACTAGAACTCCGATGATGATTTGATAATTTCAAATGTGTAAAAACACAAACCTCCAAAACTCTGTCCGAAAATAAAGAAATATCCCAAGATATAAAAAAATATATATATATAACTATATTTACTTACCTCAATGAATTGTGATGAAATTTATTGTAACTGCCAAATGCTGTTAAAACACCTAAACCAATACTATAACTAAAAAATATTTGAGTTCCTGCATCTGACCAAACCTTGAAATGAAATGTTTCAAATAACAAAAACAATCGGGAAAATAAAACTATTTATTGAAGTTTTTTTATTCACTGAAAAAAAATGTTTGAACATTTTTAAACCATGTAAATTTATAGACTTATTAATCAGAAATAGTTAAACTGTGCAGAGTACAACACAGTTCTAATTATCCGCGAGTCATCTATAACGTGGAACTTCGGATGTACGTACGTACGTTCGTACATTCATCATAGTTCAAGTTGTCATACCACACATTAGAACACACAGAGAGAGAGGGTAGATATAATAGAAGTATTAGCAGTAATGTAGAAGATTAGAGTTCGAAGATACGATTCAAGAAGTATGAGTCAGTGAAATAAATCTAAGCAAGAGAAACAAGGAGGTGATGAGTAATTGATGAGGTAAGAATTTGAGAGAACACGAAGAATGGATGCGCCTATACAATCGCAAAGGATTTTGATCCATGTTATTTGAAGTCTCTAATCATCGGTAAACATTTTAACGACAAGTCATGTTGACTCTTCTTATGAGAAATGTCAGAATTCACAGAAGGTTATTTGGTGTAAATCGAAATAATTCAGACTAGAATCTCACTAGGAGAACTGATTCTTTCAAGATTACAAATAATTCTTGGCGCGAATTACCAACAAACACAAAACTTATGTTCGGATATCCATCAAATATCCTAAGAGAATTATTTTTGGGAGTCTAATTCTATTGGTCAATTCCTACTGGTCAATATTATGGTCGTCCTAACTGTCAATGTCACATACTTCAATGTTGTTTCCGATTGGTCGTCCTAACCAGCAATGTCACTGCAAATATTGTTTCCTATTGGTCGTCCTAACTGTCAATTTCACAGACTGCAATGTTGTTTCCTATTCGACCTAACTGCATAAATATGCATTATCTGTAAAGCTTAAAATGCCATTTATTCCTTCCTTCATCTCCTTCTGCACTCGAACCCATAAACAACTTCGTCTAACGGTATTGTGTTCTGATAAAGATTGAAGATTTGAGAACAGGCAGCATTATAACAACTGACCTACATGATTTCCTGTTAGCCATCTCTAACTAGCTCATATCTTACAATGTTAAGTCACGTTAAACAAATAACCAGATTACAACATGACCAAATTAGTTCCTTCAAACGTGAAAGAACTACACTAATATAGTGATTGGTGGTTAATTATTGATCAACCGACTGTAGATAAGTAATTCATTTGGAAACAAAGGATTGATGTACATTATCTCTTTAACAGACTATTGTAGAGTGTATGTACTAATATATTGGGCAAATGTGGCTTGCCCTAACTTTTTGACAAACTAATTAGATACTGGCACACAGTGATGTAATTTTCAGTTCAAATTCTCTAGTAGTAGAGGCAGAAAAAGTATTAGCATAATCGGAGAGATTAGGGTTTGAAAAGGCAGTTCATCAAGTAGAATCTAGTGAAATTGACCACAAAAAGGAAAAGATAAAGTGATGAGGAGGAATTCAGGAGGTTAGAATTTGAGAGAATACAATGAATGAATGCATCAGCACAATTGCAAACGATTTTGAAGCATGTCATTCAACGTCTCTAACCATCGGTGAATTTGGTCTCTCGGACCCCAACCAGGTAGCCTACATTTACCAACATGATTTAGTCCAGTGTTCAGTGACTTCATTGGATTTCTGCAATGTTTTGGTCTGGCCGCCCCTTGCTTTCTTTCAGCCTAGTCCTACATCGCAAAGCATAGCTCGTCGAGGCGGTTGGTGGTTAAGCATACGCAACACCTGTCCCAACCACGTCTACTAGTTTCACTACTTCATCTATTGACCCGCCACCCTTACCTAGCACCAGTTTCCTAACGGCAGCATTGCTTACTCGGTCGTCCCCGGATACACGAGCTATGCTTCGGAGACACCTATGACCGAATACTAGTAACTTACGAATGTCCTCTACTCTTAACGGCCAAGTCTCGCATCCTTGTAGTAGGACGGAGCGCGTCTAGGTCGAAAACCAGACTGGTTTTCTCTCGTCTGCTCTTAACGAGCACTAGTAAGGCGTCTAAGTATAATCGAGAAAGTAATAAACAGAAAGTAATAGCCAGTTGCCATTTTTAGACATACTGCTGAGTCGAAGGGAGAATAGCACTATAAAGCTTTCAGTTTATAGAAAGCGAACTTGGACTGGAAAGTATTTAAATTTTCAGCATTTTTTGTCTACTACAACACAAACGAGGTTTAGTAAAATGCCTTTTCAATAGGGCGCAAAGGATTTGAACCACGGATACATATGAAGAGGGTGCAAAATTCTTAATCGAAACATTGATTTCAAACAGCTATCCGCCAAAGTTCATCAATAGGTGTAAAAATCATTTAAGACAAAAGCCTGTTTACCATTCTGTTGAGAAGAAAAAGGTTTATATCGCTAATCTTAAGACAGTGACTAAAAGCAGCCATAGAGAAAACATACAACGCTGCTTAACTGATTATCATTGAAAAGACGAAGCCCATGATTTTACATAGACCTAAACGTTGCTCGACTGATTACTTCACATCCCATTGCTTTTATCAATTTACATGTTTGTGTGGACACACATACATAGGGAGGAGTGATCGGACTTAGCAATCAAGGATTATGGAGCATGTACCCAAATGGGTTCAAAATCAGTTAACGTCAGATGAGCCGATAAACATGGAAAATAGAAAACCATATTCATCAGTCACAAAACACATAATTGAGACAGGGCATAAGATTGACATCAAGACAGCCTTCAAAACATTGTACAGAAATGTTGAAGGACGAATTAGAACACATATAAGCGAACAATATTGTTTTCGATAAGATCGTCATCAGGCTTAACTCTAATATACATGAATTCTCAGGTTTATGGAAGCGTTGGCTATTCGTAAACTAAATCCCACTTTATGTGTGCAGAAACCATTTGTTATAACCTTGAATTTACGGAGATAATCAATAAGCCTTTATTTACAATTATCACCCTATGTCTATTTGAACTTTTATTTAATTGACCTTTTATTCATCTTCATATAAAATGCCTTGACAAGTAAATACATGTGACCAGATTGCTCGAAATGTGTACAGCGCAAATACATCACATTTTTCAGATCAGATTACGTTTTCTCACTGTCCTATCAAAATATCTCCACCATGCCGTAAGGACTAATTGTTTTAAATACTAAGTTTACACATGATTCGATTGAAAATAATCAAATCCAAAATTGCAAATGCAGTTCATTTTGGGGCAGAATTTTGGAGGTTTGTGTTTTTACACATTTGAAATCATCAATCAATCATTGTTAGACCACCATTAGAAACCTGGAAGCACTGAAAGACGGCCTGGTATGGGACTCATAAGTGGCAGTGAGCATCCAGGACTCCTGCACCTCGCAGAATTCGAACCCGGGCCTTCGGTATTGTACGCAGAAGCCTAACCATCGGACCACCGGGCCGGTATCTAACGGTGTTAATGTCAAAATCTGATTGATATACGGATTTCGCGCGACCTCACCCATTTGTCTTTAATAGTTACTGCCTACACCCGAGAGGGTTGAACTCCATTGGTCACGTCTTCTCAACTAGAACTCCGAGAATCTCCTCACGAATCTAGTCACTAGTGAGCACTGTTACGATTGATGATTTCAAATGTGTAAAATGCAGTTCAATCATTACAATGCCAAAGAACGAAGGAATAAATGCACAATAGTGAACAGTATGTCATTTTACTCACTGTCATATCGGTTAATTTTGACCAATCAGGTTTCAAATATTGAATTAATCCATTCGCTGCCCCGTCAAGTAAAGCAGTACGTATCAATAAACTAATCATGAATACGTAAGGTAACAATGCAGTCACGTACATAATCTAAATGCAAAAGTAATACAGAAAAATACAAAAAAACATGAAAAATGATGATAACCATTAGAAAAAAATGAAGAATTGATTGAAAGTCAATCAGAAAAAACCAAGACATTTCTACTGTATGGAGCAGAAACTTGGAGAACTACCAAAGCAATCATCCTGAAGATACAAGTATTTATTAACAGTTGCCTACGCAAAATACTTCGGATTCGTTGTCCAGACACCATCAGCACCATCGTACTGTGGGAGAGAACAAACCAGATTCCAGTGGAGGAGGAAATGCAGAAGAAGTGGTGGAAGTGGCTAGGACACACATTGCGAAAAGCACTCAACTGCCTCATAAAATAAGTCCTCACATGGAACCCTCAAGGCAAAAGGAAAAGAGGAAGGCCAAAGAACACACTGCGCCGAGAAATAGAGAAAGATATGAGAGGAATGAACAAACATTGGACAGAAATGGAGAAGGAAGCCCAGGACAGAGTAGGTGAGGTAATACTAGTCGACGGCCAATGCTCCATTAGAGGGTAACAGGCGAAAGAACAAGAAGAAAGTCAATCAGACGGTTACAACGTAGAACTTCGTATGCAAGTACCTACATCAGTCAAAGTTGCCATACCACACATTTGCACACAAAGATGCAATTGTCAGTTCAAATCCCATAATAGTAGACGTAGTAAAACTATTAGTAATAATCAGAGAGATTAGGGTTTGAAAATATGATTCAAGAAGTGTAATCTAGTGAAATAAACTCTAAAAAAGAAGAGGAAGATAACGGTGATGAGGAATTCAGAAGATTAGAATTTGGGCGAACACAATGAGTACATGCACCCGCTCCATTGAAAAGGTATTAAGATAGTTCCTCTTCAGTTAAAACCGTTTATTTCACCCAGAGAGTTCCTTTTACTAACTCTAAAAGTGAGCAGGAGTAAAGATTCAAGTACATTAATATGCATTTCTCTTATTTTGAGCGTTGCAGTAGTGACTTAGAGCTTGTTATGCTTGAGAAACAAAATTATATTTGCAGTCGGAACTACTTATTTCAATGAATCTACACACTGAAATGATGAATCAATCGTTGTTAGACCACCATTAGAAACCTGGAAGCAATGAAAGACGGCCGTTTCGTCCTGATACGGGATTCATCAGTAGTGCGCACCCACAACTGCAGTGACTAGCAGGATTCGAACCCAGGACCTTCGGTCTGAGCCGTAATGAAACGGTATCATGTCTAACTCTGATCATTCTAGGGATTTCGAGCAACCTCACCCATTTGTCTTCGCTAATTACTGCCTACACCCAATTCTCATACCGAGAATTTCCTTAAAACACTGATCACTGGTGAGCATATTGTACAATTTTTCATTTTGAGTTACGGAGAGCATTGTTTATACGCAACGAAATAGATTTCGTTGGAAGTGTGAATAACCAAGGAACAACGATCGTCGCGGAATCATAATGAAGTAATTTATTTCATGGATTCTGTCCTCAGCTGCTTACGACCCAAGAATCACTGTATTAATCGATTAAAAACGAAATAAGTGTTCCTGTTTTGTTATCAAGAATAACTTGAGTTCAAATGTGGACACAGATTCATATCAAAAGATTATAAATACGTTCTCTGATCTGAATATTTTAGAAGAGTATTAGAAACGAAAAACATTTTCGAAACCGAAATTAGATTACATAATAGAGAGTAGTTGAGTAAAGCTCAAAAGTAAGGATGAAGTTATTAGAATTTCGAGTTTAAAGTTTATGGAAGCAAAGCGGAGCATTCTCATGTAATAAACTCACTACCAAAAAATATGGCTGATAATTGGTTCCTTTCGGATGCATAAATTCAATTTAAATCTTTTTTACTGCAACAGGTTAAGTAACACTGAATAATTTCGAATTCCTTTGTTTAATGATGATTTTGAGAGATTTGAGGACTTCAACATCATGATCATTGTCAAGTAGGTGATAAGTTATTACTTCGCTGAAAAAATCTTTTGTCCATTCAGTTTCAACATTCTTGGAATATGTTTAGAGGTGCAGAAGGAAAGCTTCGTTTATGGTCTTCCGATGAATGCGTTTTGACACTGTTACGTTATGTCAATTGATATGCTTAAAACTATTACGAGTTCTCCCTAGTTGGTAAATGAGAGCAAAGAAAAATTATCCAGTGACACGATAGTCTACTCTAATCCGAGTGTCCCAAAGCGCGACAAAGTAGAGGAAGAAGTCTTGACAAGACGTAGAAAGTGTATTCTAAAAGCACCCAGAAAATATGAGGTCCATAAGCACACACATCGAGTTTATTTATACTTCATAGGAACGTCCTTGAGAGAGCCGCAAAAATAGCGTACTAAAAATAATACATCAACCAATAACAGTCAAGGATTTCCCGGGTGTGAAATGTAATTCCATGGTCCAAAATTAGGACTCTTTCCAAGTGAGTTCTGGGGATCTAATGTCCCCAACAGACATGTACATGTTAACTGGTTGACGCATCAGGGAACACGACTCTTATGCTTCATTAATATTTATCCTAAGAGAGATATGTTGGCGTTAAAAACATAATTTTCATTATATTATTTATGGTTATCTTTGATCGAAGCAATGATGAAAATTAAACTTTTCGATTCCGCATTCATTCTTACTTGTAAAAATGATTGGCTGGCGTACACTGTTGAGCTGTTCTAAGTGTTCTTATTTACTGGTACTCTGATCTACGATAATCAATGTGTCATCGATATAGCAGCAGTACAGATTTAGTTTCCTAATAGCCTCGTTGAACAGCTCATTTTATGCCCTTTTTTAGAAAGAAATCATCTAAAATTCGACATACAGGTGATCCCATAATTATTCCCTCTATTTGTCTATAATAAGTAATGTTAAGGACGAAATGAGAACATAGTATAGATCTTAAGAGCAATTCTTTGAGACTATCCCCTAGGAACTCAATGGTTATTTCATTATCTGATATTTGCTGACATATAAACTCAGTCGTCTTGATTAGTAGTACGTTGGTAAATGAGCACACGATATATAATTAGATCATACTATTCGTACCAACATTCATATTTTCTACTATGGAACTGAAGTCGAAAACGTCTTTGGGGCTCCACTTTAAGACTAATTTGTACGGAGGCTCTCACTAACGACTTGACAATTTTTCGATAAGGAAAATTGTGAGATGGTGTAGAGAAATATTGTAGATCAGTTGGATGATAATTGTGAAGTTTCTGTCTCTAAACTGGGTGGTTTGGTTGTGGAGCTTTCATTGTTCTTCTGCTGAACAACAACAACATCATCAGCACGAACTTCAGATAGAAGAAATGAAGTATTCGAATTTCTCCACGTTTGACCCGTAGCTTGTTCTGCTAACCTCGATCTTGATTGGTTGCTGTTGACCTTTGACCTGTCGTTGTTTGCAACTTTGTTTTGATTGCCTCCCCCTTTTGATCTGTTTCTTGATCCAATGTCACCTATGATTTTCCTGATTATTTGATAAATTGGGTCAGTGTCGATGTGTTTGTTGATTGTTGATTGATCTGAGTGCCAAGCTTCTAAAAATTCTCTAGTGTTCTTTGTCCTCCCTCCACCCAGTATTTCCACATAGTTCCAATCAAATGTATGTCCATAATTGTCGGTATGTATTGATATAAGCGAAGCGTTGTCATAGCGTTTGACTGCTAATTGGTATTCACGTAAACGAAGCTAAAGAGGTCGTCCACTTTGTCCAATGCAGTGATTTTCACAATCTGAGCAGTTATTTATTTTGTAGATGATATTTGGTTTTTCTTCCTTTGTCATTTTGTCCTTTGGTCAACATAGGATTGATTGAAGTGATTCTGTTGGTTTGTGTGCCACACCAATTCCAAATAGTTTCAGTAGTCATGCTGTATGCTCTGATATGTTTCTTATGTATGGTAGGATGATCCGTTTGTTGGTTCCTGAACCTGAGTTAGCTTCTGTTGACAATTTCAGTTGATGTATTTTGATGAAGTTGCACGGATAGCCGTTCTTTTGGGAGATGGTCACAAGGTGTTGTTCCTTGTTTTTTAGTGCCTAATGTGTGCTGCAGTGTGTCTTCGCTCTCTTGAACAAAGTTTGTTCATAATATTTTCAAAGTCGCTGAAATATTCAATGAACATGATAAAAGTGTCTAGAGTTCATTGATTGGTAATTTAAAACAAAAAATAAAATCAATAATCGCTTACTTTTGTTGACGTTTTAATGCCTTTCCAAATGCATAAATAGATAATAATCCAAGCTAATAGAAGACACAATGCTAAATCCCATTGTATTGTTCCAATATTATGTATCCCATCGGAAATACGCAGTACACGATGTCTGTGAATCAAGTTAACAGTGGAATAACAATATAAAAGTCAAATAAAATAATGTCATTCAGTATTAATGGAACTTAGTTTATCATTTTGATAGGAAACCTGATTTTAATTTCATATACTAGAGATGTGGAGATCATTGTTTGACATTGAAATTATGAATCAATCACTGTTAGACCATTATAATAAGCCTGGAAGCTGTGAAAGACGGCAGTTTCATCCTGGTGTGGGAAATTATCGCAATTCTAATGCAAAAACGTAACCAGTGCAGTTCAAACCGGTCTAGTGTAGGCAGTAATCAATGAAGACAATGGGTGAGGTTAAGCAAATTGTTACGCCTGCACGTAAACACATCAGCTTGATATGCTTGAACTATTACGAGTTTACCTAGTCGGAAAACGAGAGCGAGGATCGAGGATCCAGAGACACGACATGCTACTCAAATCCGATTACCCCAACCCCCATATTGAGTAAAAGTAAGAAGACAAGACTTGATATGAAGTAGAACCTGTATTCTACAAGCATTCAGAAAGTACGAGATCCGAATCCAGTAAAGAATCAGGATCCAAGATTAGGGATCCAGGACCGGGTCCTGGTCCTGGTCGTAGTCATAAACGTTACAGATAAAGCGGATTTATACATTTTGGTCGAATAGGAAAGAGTATCGAAGTCTGTGACATTGACAGTTAAGATGACCAATAGGAAGTAACATTTGAAGTGACATTGATAGTCAGGATGACCAATAAGAAACAACATTGGAGCACGTGACATTGATATCTAGAACGACCATAATATTGACCAGTAGGAATTAACCCATAAGAATTGACCAATAATTCTCTTAGGATATAGGATGAATATCGTAACACAAATATCCTTACATCGATTGGAGTTATTAGACGTTAACACCGTTGGATGGTGTTAAGCGTTCTAACGCAAGACCAAAAGTCTTGGGTTCCATTCCTGTGAGTAGCAGGAGTCGTGGATACACATTGCTGACGAGTCCCGTACCAGGAAGAAACCGCTGTCTTTCAATGCTCCTCCGTTTAACTACGCTGGGAGGAACTAATTAATTATATGTGTAGTGGAAAAAAGATTTGCATGGAAAACATATATGAATGATTTAAGCACGGCTAAACATAACTGACGATTAAGTCTCTACGATGTCGCTGACAAGTGGACTAAGTCATTTCGGTAGATGTCGACTACTTGGTTGGGTTCTGCGAGATGATAGTAAACGATGGTTAAAGACTTTGAATGACATGGCTCAAAACCGTTTGCAATGGCATAGGTGCATCCACTGTTTTTGTTCTCTCAAACCCTAACTTACTGAATTCCTCATCACTTTGTCGTTATCTTTTTAAGTTTATTTCACTAGATTACACTTCTTGAATAACATCTTCGAACCCTAATCTCTCCGATTACTGATAATACTTTTAATACCTTTACTACTATGAGATTTGAATCGACAATTGCGACTCTGTGCTAATGTGTGGTTTGGCGACTTGAACTGATGTACGTACGTACGAAGTTCTACGTTGTTGTTGATCGATGTAAACCGTAATAAAATTCAACATTCTTTGCTCATCATTAATCTTGAAGAATTTTTAAAATATTAAGATAATGGCCACTATCAAGCAAATAGCGTGCAAATGAACTGCTAAAAATCATGTTCTCTTCTTTAGAATGTGCTTAGAGATGCACACACTAATCCTTATTTTTGTACCTTCAACAAATCTCTTTTAGTTCTTCCAAAAAACTCATTCCTCTCTTCAAGAATCTTTACTGATGAGCACTTTTATGATATTATGAATTGATTTATCTACACTCAGTTTTCTATTTGTTATAAGCAATTGACAAGAAAGCCTGAAACGTAGAATAAATTCACGTATTCTTCTAGCTTCCACGTTAATTCTTCTAGTTTCAGTCATCATCACTGAATATCATATTCAACAACTAGCTTCGTGAAGAAGTTGTGACCGGTGGAGTTCAACGCTGTTCGGGTTTGGAGTAGTGGATGTGGTTGCGCAAGACCATGGAGTGGTCGAAGTTAAGTATTAATACCTTTGGATGACGGCTCAGTGGTCCAGAAGTTGAATGTTCACGTACAAGACAGTGAGCCCTGATCTCAAATCCTGCAAGTAGCAGGACTCGTGAATAGACACTACTGACCAGTCTCATATCAGAACGAAATAGACACACAGACAGACAGGTACAACACAAAACTTCGTACATAAGTACATCAGTTCAGGATGCCATACCACATTAGCACAGAGACGCAACTGTCAGTTCAAATCCAAGAGTGATAGTGATAGTAGAAGTATTAGCAGTAATGGAGAAGATTAAGGAGTGAAGATATGATTTGAGAAGTATAATTCAGTGAGATAAATTTAGAAGGAGAAAGGTAGAGATTATGAAGAAATTATATGCTTAGAATCAGGGAGAACACAAAGAGTGGATGCACCTGTGCCATTGCAAACGATTTTGAGTCATGTCGTCCAAGGTCTCTAATCATTGGTGACTTTTATCTCGCGGACCCCGACCAGGTAGCCTACATCTACCAACATGACTCAGTCCACTTGTCAGTGACTTCATGGATTTGTGATATGTTTTGGTTTGGCCTTCCCTAACTTTCCTCCAACCTACTTCTACACCACAAAACTTAGCTCGTCGCGGCAGTCGGTGGTTAGGGTTAGGCATACGTAACACATGTCCCAACCACCTCAACTGATGAAGATTCAATGCTTCATCTATTGATTTTCCATCCTTTCCTAGAACTCGTTTCCTAACGATAGCACTGCTTACTCGGTCGTCCTAGGATAATCAGAACGAAAGAACCGTCTTTCATTGCTTCCAGGTTTCTAATGGTCAATCTAACATCCATCGACCCATGATTTTACGGAATCAGTCTTGTTTCACTCAGAATTAATTAAAACACAGTAGATGTAAATTAACTACCATGTAACTTTGAACCACTAAACTTGAGTGACAATTTATTTATCAATGATGAAGTCGTCAACTTCTCACAACTTCATAAGAAAGTATGATTATAACTGACTTCAAATCAATTAAGAAAGTACTTTTATGATTCTTTCATTTTAAAAATAAAGTCCTCACAACCCTCTCTTCTAAGTAAACATTCGCAACACTAATAGTCTATACTAAGTCAATATCCATTCAAGATTATGTCACTTCATCAAGAACAGACAAAGAACGAAGAAGTTATTATTCATCTGAACAACATTATCATGATGATGCTGTTGTACATAAGAAACACAATGAAAGCTCAACAACTGAAATTTCCAGCTCAGCGAACGAAACTCCACCTTGTGTCATCCACTTGAGCTACAAATTTCCTTCATCCTGAAGTTTTTCAACGAATCAAGGCAATAATAATAAAGGCTCCAATCCATGTTACATAATAGGTAATGTATTGAATGGCCAGGAAAACTACAGTCTAGAATGATAGATTACATCATAAGAAGTGCATAGGTAGCCTGATAGCGAAACGTATAATTGAAGAAAAAAGTATAGATCGAAGTACAAGAAGCGAAACAAACAAGTTTAGGAAGATAATGATAATAAGTGGAGAAAATTTGTAGCTCAGGTGGATGAGCAGCTCAGAGAATCAAAAACCACCACAATGATAATAAGTACATAAACGTAATCGTTTTTTTAAGAAGAATTTAGCATTAGAGCAGATAGAGGTGTTACACATTTCCCTATGAACATGGATTGTTAGCTCTAATCTCAATAGCTTCTGCTATCTGTAAGAGACGAGAATAAACTATTTACCGGAAAACAAATAGATATACGATAAATGACCTTGAATGATCGATTTCTATCCACCACATGATCGGTATTGATCAAGTGTGATGGAATGAAGCTGTGTAATGATTTTCTCATGCTCTTTTTTAACCACGAAGAGAGAGGTATTCAGTAACTCATTGGCTTGATCGTGTGGTACGTACTTGCAATAGAGTCTTCACCACTGGAGAAGCTAAATTTGTTGAATGTGGGTAAAACCAAGAAACTTATCTGTTAGTTGACGAATCACTATATATCGGCTATCAAGCCATAGACAAAAGTTACGTTCAATAAACGTTCTCTTCACTACTTTATTCGATCTATCTCATTGTGTATCACTGACTAAATCCCTGTTAAATGTTGTTTTATTGACCAACGATATGTCTATTTTCCTGTTCCCTGAATGTAGGTGTTGCTTCATAAAAGTCTTGTGAACAACCTATAGTAATCGACATAGTATGAATGAGCTACAGCTCTTCTTTTATGGTGTCGTCGGAGTAAATTTTCCCAGCTTTGCCTGTAAGATTAGGTTTCTCATATGATTTTGAGATGGTGGAGAAAATTTGTAGCTCAGGTGGATGATTGTGGTGGTATTTGTTTCGCTGAGCTGGATGTTTTGGTTGTGGAGCTTTCATTGTTCTTCTGCTGAACAACAACATCAGTAAAATCTTCAGATAGAAGTGTAGCATTCGAATTTCTCCATGTTTGACTTGTAGCTTGTTCTGCTAACCACGATCTTGATTGGTTGCGGCTGACCTTAAACCTTAAACACATACATCGACATGGACACAATTTATCAGCTAATCAGAAAAATCATAGGTGACATGGGATCAAGAAACAGATCAAAGGGGGATACAATCAAAACAAAGGTGCAAACAACCATAGTTTTAAGGTCAACAGAAACCAATCAAGATCGAGGTTGGCAGAAAAAGCTATGGGTCATCCGCGGGGAAATTCGAACGCTTCACTTCTATCTGAAGTTTGTGCTGATGATGTTGTTCAGTAGAAGACCAATGATAGCTTCACAACCAAAACATCCAGCTCAGAGAACCAAACACCACCACACTAGGATTCTCCTCTATAATAAATAGATACAAAGCTCATGAAATGTGTGTAATTGTTTAACAAATAACTAGTTTTAAACAAACTTCTTTTGATAGCCACATTTTCCTTGTGGTTTAAGAAAATGTCAAGAAAATGCAACTTCTTATCAAGTTCCTTCTCACACATAAATTTAATGGCTGAGTTTATATAATTTTTAGTGCTCATATTAACCAAGCCGTTTGTATAGCAATAACTTATATGTACGATTGGCTTTTACTATTGTCTGGTTTGTATGAGCTGGTACGACTGAACATTGCTTACCGCATACGCAAACAATCGTCATAATCGTTTTGATGTTAACCTCTTAAATATTTCGATGACTCAGCCATTTTCCTATGTACATATATATACATTTTAATCTTATTAATTCGTTCGCCAATTCGCTGATTCACCAGCTTGCTTGCTTTTCGCTCCTTATGTCTGCTGTTTGTTGTCTCTTTTGTGGTGTCCCAAATAAACGTATTAAACACTTCGTATTCGCCTTCTGATTTTTAGACCGTGAGGCGCTATTTAGTAACCGTTGTCTGTACGAGCAGCATACGAAATCTGTGAACACGTTGGATACCGACCGTCACGAAACTAGCCACACATTAGCCACCATAAACTGAATTCATGAAACAGTCATTGTTAGACCACTATTAGAAACCTGAAAGCATTGAACGGCCGATTTCTTCATGAATTCAGTTACAATGTTAAATTACTCCAAGAATTTATTATTGACAATATTTTGATCTATTCCAATGAAGGTATCATCAATGTGACGGCAGTTAAAGTCGAGCTTGTCAGAAGTCAGTTTCTTAGCTGTCTATATTTGAGAGTACAACCTGATGACAGTCTAAGTGAAAATCAAATGTCGTTAGCTTATATGTTTGTGTTTCGATGAGATTCACTGTGTTAAGGTGGAATAATTACCACCTGAAATCACCAAAAGCGGTAACACGTTAGTACAACTGGTTTTTAACTACTTATTCAATTCAGTAGTATGATTTGAAAATGAACAATTTTAAAGGAATCAAATTCATTTTACTTACTCCCAATATTCAGTAGTTGCATCTACTGTCAACAAGCTTTGATTATTATTATTAATCTGCATACTGGTTTCATTTAGATGATTAGAATTGATTGGGATTGGTTGATTAGTGAAAACACGACATGCTGGTGTATTCCATGATTGATTACATTTAGTCCATGGTAATTCACTTGTAAATGATGAGAATATAAAATGAAATGCCCATGCCAATATGACAGTGTAGTAGCAATTGAGAAAGAAATTAATCAGTGTACATGCATATCCGATACCTACCAAAAAAGTAAACAAAATGAAGAAATCAAATGAAATTCATAACTAATTATTGATTTATCATTGTATAAAGACAAGAAGTGATTGAATAAAATTTGGTTACGTTAATTTCTATGTTATGCCTGTCATGATTCATTCATAAGACGCTCAGTATACACCTTTAAACAACTGCTAATCTTTATACAGGGTTTTGGAGGTTGTTCAGGTTCATTGAAATCATGAATCGATCAATGTTAGATGACCTTTAGAAACCTGGATGGTTGTTTTGTCCGAATATGGGACTCATTAGCAGCGTGTATCTGTGATCTTGCAAGCGGGAGTCGGAAGCAGGACTTTCGGTCTCGCTATAACCTCTAGACCACTGAGCCGGCATCCAACAATGATTATGCCTAACTTCGATTAGTCCACGGTTTTTCATAACCTCCTCCACTATCTTCCGTGGGTGACTGACTCACCTTTCACATGATTGAATTCAACTAATCACTCCTTCTCACTAGAGCTCCAAAAATACCCTCTTGATAATTTTAATCATAGGTTTGTGGAGTTGATGAGGCACACAGTAGAACAAAACGGCCGTCCAATTCACCAAAACTAATTTGATTACAACACACAGTTCATCAGTAATTGATATTTCATAGGCAAAATTTGAATGAATTAAGTTACAAGTGTAATAAGAAATCTGGAAAGATACGACTAACTCTTCTCACATTCCTTTATCACACTGCACGATGCGAGTTCACGAAACGTCATTCCCGGTCTCCTGAATTCCTCGTAATCTCTATATTTCTCTTTCTAAATTTATCTCACTGAATTATGCTTCTTAAATCATATTTTCGCTCCCAAATCTTCTCCATTACTGCTAATACTTCTACTATCGCTATCACTCTTGGATTTGAACTGACAGTTGAGTCTCTGTGCTGATGTGGTATGGCAACCTAAACTAATGTACTTACGTACGAAGTTCTGCGTTGTACTCTCTGTCTGTCTGTTTCGTTTTTTGGTGAAAAGGCATTCTCATTTTGGTTGTAGTGATCTTTTTTTATCGGATAATAAACATTATTTGTGGATCGGGAAAGCATAGGCAACATTTTTATATGTGAGAAACATCTGCAATTCAAAAAACAACTTTTAATTAGTTCCAAAATTATAATTTTCGATACAGATGTCAAGACACTTCTACTGTATGGGGTGGAAACTTGGAAAACAACGAAAATCATCATCCACAAGATTCAGGTGTTGATTAACAGTTATCTACAAAAACTACTTCGAACCCGTTGCCCAGACACTATAAACGACAACCTTCTGTGGGAGAGAAGAAGTCAGATTCCTTCAGCTGTGCAGGAAATCATCCCACTGCGTCACAAGAAAAGCCCTCACCTGCGATCCTCAAGGTCAAAGGGAAAGTGGTAGATCAAAGAACACTTTACACCAACAAACGGAGACAGATATGAAGAGAATGAACAAAAAATGGACAGAACTTGAAAGGAAGACCCAGAACAGAGTAGGTTAGAGAATATTGGTCGTCGGCCTATACTTCACTGGAGGTAACAGGCGTAAGTAAGTAGGTAAGTAAACAGTATTTGTTTAAAAAGTTTAAGTCTCACTTAGAAGTTAAACACTGACAAATGTTCAATGAAGGTGACAATACCAGAAAGTGTGATTGATCAAATAAACGGAATTTGATTTTTATATCATAGATGAACTACTCTGTCGAAGTAGTTTTAAGAAAACAACACATATTCTACTTTCTAGCTTAAATATTTTCATGTAAGCAGTTCGACAATAGAAGTGAAGTGGATTTTTGGAGATTGTACTATTTTCATGGTTGGAATCATGAAATAATCTTAGTTTGACTACCAGTGGAAACCTGAATGCACTGGACTTTTATTTCATCCTAGTATAGGGCTCATCAGCAGTGATTATCCACGACCCTCGTTCGAGACAGCCATATCCGAAACCTTCGTTCTCGTGCACGAACTCTTAACCTCTGAACATTGAACTGGCATCTAAAGTTGATCTAGCAAGAACCACTCAGTGATCTCAGCTATGAAAATAATATGATCTCAACAAATCCCCTTCAGTGATAACAATCATTTTTTCATGAATGACTAACTCACAGATAGATTCTTGGAGTTCTATTAAGAACTTGTGACTATTAGAATTCAAACGTGTCGGTTGTGAGACAATAATTCATCGCAGGCAGTGAACGAAGATTAGACAAAGTCAAAACTTGATTGATGTCAGACATTAACCCTGTTGAATGTCATCTCAGTGGTCAGATGTTCGTGTGATAGACAGAAAATCCTGAGTTCAATTCCAGCTTGCAGAGGTCGTGGACGCAAGCTGCTGATGAGTCCCTTACGAGCATGAAATGGCATACACGCTTCTAATGATGATCTAGCTAAACTCAGTTTGTAGTTCCATTAATGCAAACTTTATGTATGTTGATACTTCAATAACTAGGTTATTTAAAGGCAATATAAATCGTAATGTTAACAAAGTCTATACCTATTAGTTTCATTTAATCCTTTAAAAATCAACATCAATATTAACAATAAAATCATTCAAATTTACCTTGAAAAAGTGGGCATATATTCCATGCAGCAATCACTCCACGACGTGTTACTTGTCCAACAGTTACTTCTAATAGAAATAATGGTATGCCAGCTAAGAATACACTGATGAAATACGGGATGAGGAAAGCACCTAAATAAATCAAAACACAATGTAAACACAGAATTACTTTCACTTGGTTTAAAAATAATTTTTCATCAAATATTATAAATCACTCGTTTCTAGAAACTAAGATTTCGATTAAATGTCAGTCAGTCAGTTATAACGTAGAACTTCGTGAGTATGTATATCAGCTCAGCTTGTCGTACCGCATAAGCTCAGAGACGCAACTGTCAGTCCAAATCCAGGAGTGATAGCAGGAATGGAGAAGATTAGGGAGCGAAGATATGATTCGATAAGCATAATTCAGTATGATAAATTTAGAAGAGGAAACATAAAGATAATAAGGAATTCAGAAAGTTAGAATTAAAGAGAACACAAAGAGTGGATACAATTGCACCATTGTACACGATTTTGAGCCACCTCGCTCAAGGTCTCTAACCACCTGTGTCTTTCGTCTCGCGTACCCCGACCAGGAATTAAGCCTAAATCTACCAAGATGTCTTAATCCACTTGTTAGTGATTTCAAGTGTAACATAATTCTTTAAAATATCAACAATGTTAGAAGAAATACCATAAAGGTTTAGCACATATCACCTAACTAATAGTTAAAAAATGCACTGATCTTATGTAGATCCCCATTGAAATCCTGGAAGCATTGGATGTCAGCGTTATCCTAGTATGGGACCCAATAGCAGTGTGTATTCAATACGCCATATGCAAAAGTCAAGCGTGCTCATATGCAGTCGACATCCTGTTTCGGGTGTGAGACAATTATCCGCCAACGACAATAAACAGAGTTTGCGCAAAATCACTGATTGATTGAAGTTAGGGAGCGATACGATGGTAGACCAGCTCAGTGGTCTATATTGTAAACATTTTTACGAGATAGAAGACCCTGTGTTCCATTCATTCGTGCAGACATCGTGGATGTTTACTACTGAGGAGTCTCATACTAAGCCGACGCATCTGTCCAGTATTTTCAGATTTCTTATGGTGGTCTAGCTGAGATCAATTCATGAGTTCAACTATGAAAATAATTCAGTCACCAAAAATCCCCTTCTTTAATAACACATAACCTTAGCAAACAGAGTCATTACACTATCGGTCAGCTAAGCTTTAAATTATGTTCATTACAGCGGATAACACAAAACTGATATACATTTGTGTACTTGATTCATCCTATTTGGAAACTTTCATCCGGAGGTTTTTCTATAAAACTCAACAACAACAGTCGGACGTACCATATAGAACAGCAAACTAGAATATATATTCTCATAGTGTATGAATAGACAGATGTTTTCATCATGAGAATTTCGTCTGTTCTCGTGGTCATATATCCATGAACTCTCGGTATTGTATGAGATGCAAATATACGGATTTCCTCACATGCAGAGGGTCAACTCTGAAACCGATTTGACAATTAACGTTCTATGATTATTATTAAAACATTTTTTGAATGCAGTAGTATAATGTCCACTCATAGATATTTTTCGGACAATTTCTGGCTACGAATGACTGATGGTACGGGTATTAGGGTGGATGTTACTTCCCGGCTACCTACATCGTGGAAGGGTGCTTCTTGAGGGACCTGAAAAGGAAGATAAATTAGTGTTGGTTTTAGAGACCCGGGAGCGTGGCCGCAGAGCCCAAGGGACAACTGCATGAGGCAGGTCACGCATGGCCTTTTTATGAAAGGTTTTTAAAGTATTAGCACCGCACTTTTTAAAGCCCTTAGTGGGCAGTCCTTACCTCTGGAGACGAAAATCCGTGAGGTAGGGTGAGGTGTGACATTTTTAGGGTCGACCTTTTCCAACCCCTTCATTCCTTGTCAGAAGGCAGTACCGCTGGCTGTCATATCTCTCTACAGTCAGCAGTACGACTTCGCCCTCAGACCTATTTGAACCTGAACTGACGTACGTACGTACGAAGTTCTACGCTGTAATTGACTTTGACTTGACAAATAACTGATAAGTGAATTCATAAAGGCACCAATTTCTTATCAGTTATATTAATAGATATTATCATCAAACAGTTTTAAAGTTAAGTTCATGAGATTTGAAAATCACAACTCCTTGTCCTTTGTCATCCTAATGACAATCAATCCTACTAACGTATGACAAACTATCATATCGTTTTGACTTTTGCGTGCGATGCGCTTGTAAATCTGAATTTGTAGGATGGTGATTGTAGTTGACTGACAAAAGACCCTGCGTCTACATTCCATAGTACCCGACCCTAGTCAGCAAAGCACACTATTGAAGTTTCCTCTAACCAAAACCTTATATTACGACAAAATGTACGCGAACATTAATCACATTGTAACCTGATAGATACACAATAAGATCAATACTGCAAGGGACTTAACAAACAGCATATTGACCACTGCTCAATGATCTGTAATGGCTGGGAATAAACTCCACTTTTGTTTGCCATTTTGACGTCGTATCGAATCAGAATAAAGTCAGCTATGATTAGTTTCGCTTCACAGCTTCCACTATGCACAATGCTCGTTAAAGGGTTACTTACAGAAAGTCATGAACAATAGGAATATATTCTACAACTGAAATATCCCTTCATCCTCTTACAAACATATCACGTACAATGTAGTCACTTATGATAACAGAGAAAAGTGTCAACAGTCATACCATCAATCCATTCGATCATAAAAATCATTACAAACTATATACAATTTTTCACTCATTAAATAAACACAAACATGTACGTCATTATTGTTTGACAAGAACAACAATTTCACACAACTTACTAACCTCCACCATTTTTATAACATAAATATGGAAATCGCCATACATTACCAAGTCCAATAGAAAATCCTAAACATGCAATCAAAAAATCAATTTTTCCTTTCCATTGATCACGTTGAATTGGTGGTTTGTTTTCTTCAGTCAAGGGAATATTGGACAATTGATCAGTTGTTTTAATTGCCTGTGTTTTTTTTGAAGCGCGAAATTTATTATTATTATGATGATGATGATTGTCAACTGATGAACTTTCATCAGATGATGATGACATGATTGATTGATTGGGTTTAATAAAAAGTATTCTCTTTTCTCTTCAGTTGATTGTAAATAATATTTTAATGAGATAATTGACATCATACATTTTTTATTTTGGCAAAAAAAAAGTCAAAACGAATTCACAGCTAACGTTAAAAATGAGTATTTTATTATTTATTCTTAAAAAAATGACATGTGAATATGTCTGTCATGTTATAATGTCTGTCTGTCTAGGAATCAACACACACACACACACACGCGCAACACAAAAATCAATAAACCAATGAAATCAATGTAATGTAAAACACTGATCGTATCTCGCAGCTAGGACGCAGCTAGACGAACTGGACTTCGCAGATGATCTGACTCTACTATCGCACACGCAAAACAACAAATGCCAGAGAAGACGACCAGTGTAGCAGCAGCCTCTGCAGCAGCAATAGGTCTCAACATACATAAAAGAAAAAGTAAGATTCTACAATGCAACACAACATGCACCGACCAAATCACTCTTGATGGAGAGGCTTTGGAGAACGTTGACACCTTCACATATCTGGGCAGCATCATCGACGAGAAAGTTGGATCCGATGCAGATGTGAGGGCGCGGATTTGCAAAGCAAGGGCTGCATTTCTACAAGTGAAAAATATCTGGAACTACAAGCAAATATCAATCAACACCAAAATCAGGATTTTCAATACAAATGTCAAGACAGTTCTACTGTATGGAGCGGAAACATGGAGAACTACGAAAGGCATCATCCATAAGATACAAGTGTTTATGAACAGTTGTCTACGCAAAATACTTCGGATTCGTTGTTCAGATACCATCAGCAACAACCTACTGTGGGAGATAACAAACCAGATTGCATTGGACCAGGAAATCAGGAAGAAGCGATGGAAGTGGATGGGACACACACTACGAAAAGCACCTAACTGTGTCACGAGACAAGCCCTCACATGGAACCCTCAAGGCAAAAGGAAAAGAGGAAGGCCAAGGAACACATTACGTGGACAAATAGAGAAAGATATGAGAGGAATGAACAAACATTGGACAGAACTGAAAAGGGAAGTCCAGGTAAGAGTTGGTTGGAGAAAACTGGTGGGTGGAGGAATAGATAGACTATGGAACTTCACAGACGCTATTTGTGACAGACTTGGTGTACCGTTATTTGAGGTCATATTTATACAAATAAGTGATCAAAAACAGAGCGACTAATGAATAACGGAAGGAAAATAGATAATAAGAAATAATATGTTACAATACAGAACACAGTTACGGAACAGCAGCAGTTTAGCAATGGTATGTATAATGACGTTACGTGTGAATGTTAATATTGTCAAAATATTTTCAATAATATGGATGAAATAATAAAGTTGAAATGAAAATACGATAATAGTATTCAGCGCAAACGTAATTAAAGTCCATAGCTATAAATCGAATGGAGACGGAGACGTATTCCTTTGAAGTCGTAGGAAACGGCGTTGTGATCTTTCAACGGGCTCACCAATTTATTGTGGCGTTAGACTTTCGTTATCTTCGATTTCCCGTATATCTCCGTCTTGATGATCGCTACGAGAGAATGCGAGTCGTTGCCACAATTTCTTTATTATTCAAATTATTCAATGATCGATACAAATATCGGATTTAATTCGAATATGTACAGTCGATATTGACATCGAATTAGTCATACTCTTAATCGATACAGCTAGTCAAATAACTATGTGTAGGTGGCAAATAATGCCCAAGCGTACATGCGCATACAAGCTCAACAATGATAAAAGTACAAGATATATGTGAGGTGCTACCACCAAATGTCATAAATAAGTTCGTTCCGGTGGCCTTGAATATGACTGATTATATTTGTACGTTTCATTATCTTCATCCGTCTTTGTGTGCTAACCTTGACTTTCTTTGTTTCGCTGACCTTCAACTTGGTGATTGCTTGACCTTTATCTTTTGGGTCGACAGGTACAACCAAAATCGATTTGTCTATTGATTTATGGCTGATCTGAATGCCAGACTTCTCTAACTTTTTTGGACTTCCTAGAATGTTGGTATTCTATCGGTCGAAATCATGTGTCCATTGACATCAGTGAGAGCACATCGCACCATCTCATTGATATTAATTTCAAGGGCTTCTGGAATCAGTTTAAGCGTTTTTCGAGTTCCTTTTTCTAGTTTTAAACCCCGCCTTGAACCCTTCTGAGGTTACTGCCAGTCCCTAGCTTGGATAAAGGAGATATCATAGAGTTAGCGATGCAAATCGCTAAAAAATACGTTAACCCGAAAAAGTAATTCACTGGTCGGCGGCCTATGCTCCATAAGGGTTAACAGACTTCATAAAAGTAGGTAAAGCTTTCTAGTTTTTTAGAGGTTGATTTTATGATAGCAGTTTGGATTGTTTAAAAAAACTTTCTGATGTAGTTTTAAGAGTCATCATTTTTACCGATGACAAATAGAAAAATATGCAGTTTTTGATTTTTTCACAGTGCATAGTACAGCAGTAGTTCAGTTCTACGCCAGTAGCATCACTGGGGTTCCTGTTGACCCTAAACCCTTAAAAAACCGGGAGGATTGGGCATAGAGTTAGAGACGTCGCATCGTAGAATACCAATTTCGCTAAAAAATATCTCTAACCCGAAAAATAATTCATATCTCATTGATACGAATATTAAACTGGCTAACATTGACTTGAACAATAATGACAAGATTGATTTTTTGGGCCATTATATGTGACCTTATTTAAAACTACGCTCATTTCAGGTTAATTTTTATCCTGATCAGAAAATAATCAAAGTGTCACACCAAATGTTTTATTTCTCTATTTAAAAAAAACCAACAAAATACAAATGAATGTATTTCGTTGTCAAATCATTTAAACAAGGTAAATGTTATTGAACAATGAACTTTATTTTTAATCCATACTTCGACGAATGAAACATGAATAACGTGAGCTTTAGATAAGAGGATCAGTTATTATTATAAATTGACATAACCACACAGATATACGCATGCATTGATATGAATTGCTTTAAATTTAGTCAACAGTACTCAGTCATTTCAATGAGATGTGTTGATGTATGATTTCAAAATATACCTTCATCAGTTTACAACGGATTCATCAATAGTTACTTACTTACTTACTTAAATAATTACTTACTTACTCACTTACTTAATTACTTACTTACTTACTTACTTATTCACTTACTTACTCAACTACTTACTCACTCACTTACTTACTTACTTACTTACCTACCTAATTACTTACTTACTAACTTACTATCCTACTGACTTACTTACTTGCTTACCTACTTACTGACTTACTTACTTAATCACCTACTAACTTTCTTAATTACTTACTGACGTACATACTCACTTACATACTTACTTAGTTACCTAATTATTTACTCACTTACTTACTAACCTACTTACTTAGTCGCTTACTTACTTACTTATTTACTTATTCACTCACTTACTTATTTACTCACTTACTTACTCACTTACTTACTTACTTACTCACCTACTTACCTACCAACTTATTTACCTAATTACTTACTTACAGACTTACTTGCTTACTCGCTTACTTACTTTCTTACTTACTTACTTATTCACACACCTCATTACTCTCTTACGTACTCACTTACTTACTCACATACTCACTTACTCACGTACTTATTACACACCTAATTACTTACTCACTTACTTACTTACTCGTTCACTTACTTACCTACTCACTCACTAACTTACTTACTCAGACACCTACTTACTCACTTACTTACTCACTTATTTACTTACCTACTTACTCATTTACTTACTTACACACTTACTTGCTTGCTTACTTACTGCTGTTACCCTAATATAACATGGACCGCCGACGAGTGTTCATCAGCCTACTCTTTACTGGGTTTTCTTTTCCAATCCTACCAATCTGCTATTCATTCTTTTCATGTCTGTCTCCAAATGTCGACGCAGTCAGTCAGTTAGTCACAACTTAGAACTTTGTGCGTACGTACTTCAGTTCATGTTGCTACAAAGCTTAGCTCGCCAAGGCAGTTGGTGGTTGGGCATTCGTAACACTTGTCCCAACCATCTCAACTGATGAACTTTTAATACTCCATCAGTTGATCTGCCATTCTTACATAATACTCGCTTCCTCGCTTCACTCTAATTTAGATGTTCTACATAGTCCATCTAAAACATGGTTGTTACCTATCAATGCGGCCAAGAAATAGAAAGACAAATAGGTTCAATATCGGAGAAGTGTCGATACCCGCAGTTTGGTCACACAATGATCTTGGGGCTTTATTAAGCTACGACCTTAAGACTACAACTTACTGCCGTATCGTTGCGCCTAAGTTGCTCAGAACATTGAGGGCTTTAAAATGGCATTTAATAAGTTGTATACCAGTATGTACACTAAGGAAGTGTATTCCGCGGTCAGATATGAACTCGAAAACTGAATTTAGGCTACAAACCCCTTTTTATAAGATGACTCAGATTGCTTCAAAAAAGCATAGAGAATAGCTATTGATGCAATTTTGAAACTCCGAGGTTCATCAAACACGGAGTGACTTAAAAATCTAGAACTCTTTGTTCTGTCCTACCATTGATTGGAAACATGTTCTGATTTCGAGAATAAATATTATTATCATTATTATTATACCATAAAATGATTTTAAACCTGATTTATTCCTCTCTTTTCTTATCTAGATAACTTAGAGAACAAAGCCGTTAAGTACGAAAGCCAACGGTGAACGAAATATTCGTAAAATACAGGTTTTCACATCGAGTTTAATCAAATGTGTTGTAAGTACTTACTTACTTACGCCTGTTACCCCAAACGGAGCATAGGCCGCCCACCAGTTTTCTCCAACCAACTCTGTCCTGGGCTTCCCTTTCCAGTTCTGTCCAATGTTTGTTCATTCCTCTCATATCTTTCTCTATTTCTCGGCATAATGTGTTCCTCGGCCTTACTCTTTTCCTTTTGCCTTGAGGGTTCCATGTGAGGACTTGTC